TGCTGCTGCTGCCACTACTAAGGGCACTGCCGTTGGCCGCTGCCATTGCCGTTGGGTGCCATTGCCTTTGAGGTGGAGACCCAGCACTACCGCTGCTGCCACTGCCGCTGCGGATAGCACTAAACGAATCTACTGCACTGCTGCCACTGCCGTTCACACCACCACCACCAGCACTGCTGTTGCTGCTACCAAAGATGCTGCTACCGCGCGCAACTGCAGCAGCAGCACCCCCATTCCCCGCATCAGCAAACACCACCATCGTCGCCCGCTTTGCCGCTCCTCCACCCGTTCTCCCCGGCGGCACCGCTGTCCCCCGCGGCGATGAGCTGGTCCCAGTCAAGAGTCACCATCGCCGACTGCGCGAGGGGCGCGGGGATGGTGCCGCGCTTGCCCTTGCTGCCGTTCTTGCGCGGGCGCGCGAGCAGCACGGTGGTGACGCCGCGGTTGGTGAGCTTCGCCAGCACACCCGCGAACCCCACGTCGCCTGATACCACCACCACGCACGGCGCCACAGCTCTGCAGGCGGCAGGCGTGCCAAGGAGGTGCAGGAATGCAAGAGAAGGGGCAGGACGGAAGAATGACGTGAGGGATGCAGAAAGGGAGGGACGACTGTTCAGAGAGCTGCACTCGCCTCTACATCCGCCGCTACCCCCCTCGCCACCCGAGTGACCTCACCGGTTCATCTCTCGTTCGTCGAGGGCGAAGAGCAGCGCGTCCGTGATGATGGCCTTGTCCGCCATCTCCTTGCCCGCCGCCACCGCCACCACCTCCACGCCGCACGCGCCCATCTTCCCCACCATGCGCGCATGCACCTCCTCCGGCTTCCCGTACGCGCGCACGCTCCGCACCGCGCCGAACGCGCGCGCCAAGTCGCGCAGGCGGCGCACGAGCGCAGCGCAGTCGGCGCCGACGGGCACGGGGCAGTTCTCGTAGTCCCAGAACACGGCCACGCCGGGCGGACATGCTGCCGACGCCGCTTGCGGTTGAAACGAGTGTGACGGTAGCGGGAGGGTGTGAGGGTAAGGTGATGGGGTGGGGAACGGAGGCGGGTAGGAGAGGGGTGGTGGGAAAGAGGGTTGTTGGTGGCGGTACGGGGGTTGCTGGTAAGGCGGATAAGAAGAGGCGCCGTTTTGAGAGAAGGAGGAGGCGGACGCTCTGGCGGAGGATGGGTGGGGGTTGTGGGGAACACAGCAGGACAGTCGGAGAGCAGGCGTGGTTGCAGCGACGGTTGGCAGGGAGAGGGAAGGAAAGTTGAGGAGAAGAGGGTTTTGCGGGGGGAGAGAAAAGCCTGGCGACAGGTGAGCTCGTGGTACATGCGGCCAGTGAGGCGCGCCGATGGCTGTTGACTCAGCCTGAGACTGTGATGGGTTGAGAGCGGTGCAGTAGCCAGGTGGTTGGGGTGGTGAGCCGGGTGGAGGGTAGTACCAGAGCTGATCGGCTTAAACAATGGCTGCTTCTGGCCGCGACTAACACTGAGCCAGATGAATGTGATTCCGTACGCGTTATAAACATGAGCCGCTTATTCGTGTTAAGAATTCCCAAGTATGGGAAGCCTGCATTATTGCGAGGCGGAGGACCTGAAGGATCAGTGTCGTGGATACGGCGGTATGGATGCACCACCCCCGCTGCTGGAGGCCGAAGGCTTGGCTGAGTGAGAGAAATCGCGTTCGCCATCATGACCGGTGAACGCGCCGTGCAAACCGTTGTCGAGAAGCTGATAGTTGTAACCAACATGCATCAGGAAAGCTTCGGCCAGGCTGAATTCGCGAGATTACAACGCTAATGTCGACCTTAGAAGTGGCTGGTTCCGGGCCGATCGACCTTAGTCATCAATTGCGTCGACTATCCTATGCTGAAACTTGGTAAGTCCAGATTCAGGTGGAAGCACAAAGAATGTCACGCCTTTAGCTACTATACCACGCCTGATGGATTCCTGAATTGCTGAGAAGCTGCAATGCAGAAAAAATGGTTTGGGTTTGATTGATCTGGCCTTGCGGTGGCGATCATGTGTTGGTTGAGATATTTACAGCTTTTCGGTTCAGGTGTTTGCGCGCAGTGCAACCAGCACAGCACTCCCCCCGCGCGCTGACATGTCAGTTGCTCTGCACTTTTTCTCAGAAACAGATGGGCTTTCGCGAGGAAATGCTGTGACGGAGAGTGTAACCAGAGTTAGCGAATTGACTTCCTTGTGGTCCGATCTGGAATTCAGCGAAAGCAGGTCGGTTCCCCTGAGGCACCTCGAGAATCTCCAGGCACAGACGTGCTGCCACATCGATCCGAGTTACACATCTCCCTGGCGTCTGTTCCCCGAGCTGCCACCCGCTCGCTGCTGTTCCGTGCATGCACTGTCAGGCACAGTAGAATTAGGGTGAATGTATGAGCTTCAGTTCAATCATGAACGAAGCTGACTGATCAAACCGACTTATTCGACTGGGGCAGTCGTGTTAGGCCTGAGTCCTTAACACTCTGCAGCACAATGGCGGCGACGAGGTGTCTCGTTCAGACGAATAGCTTGATTGATCGTCGCGCTCTTCCTTCCGTTAATGTGCAATCGAGGCGTTCAGACATGTCTGTATTTGCTCCTCGTTCCATATTTCTCGACGAGCTCCTCAAGGCCCCCGTTTCAGTGAGAAATGTGACCGTTAGCACCCGTTGCGTAGGCATTTTCTGCACGGCAATGAGATCAGCCCGCGGTACTGCCAGACAAACTCATAATGATAGACACAACTGTCGTTGCGGTCATGCACGGCCGAGCACGAGAGCAGCCGTGTACGACCCTTCGAAAGACCTAAGCTTTAGCCTTGAAGACGAATTGAACGGTGAGTGGTGTGATCCTCTCGCTGCTTCCTTTCATTCGTCTAGGTTTCGTCGTTTTTTGGCTGCCTCATCCTTCTTCTTAACTTCCATCGCTTCCTCATCGCCTCTCAGATCCAGAGTCCAACATCACGCCACCCCCACCCCCAACGGAGGACCGGTTCGAGATTCACGTGACCAAGGAGATGATTCGCAGCCTTGATCTCACCGTCGCACACCAGGTCCTGCGACCATTCGTCGCACAGATAGGCGACAACACGTCCCCTCCCCTCTCCGACCCATCGCCTCTCCTCACTCGCCGCCTGGGCTTCACCATCAAATACGAAAGAGACGACCCCATTGACCCTCGGGAACTGTCCGAGCTGCCAGATGTCCGCCTGTGGTTCGTCCGTCTGGATGCCGCCTATCCGTGGTTGCCAGCAGTGCTGGACTGGCGAGCGGGAGAGCTGGGACGGTATGCTGCAATGCTGGTGCCGCATCAGGTGGGAATCATGCCACACCCCCATATGAGCCAATTCTGACTCTTGGGCCATAGGCTGCCCCCCTGCTCTCTTCCCACTCTTCCACACATCCTTATACTCTCCATCCTCCCAACTTGCCTGCCTCCACCAGATGAGCAAGCGCATGGGTTTGGTGTTCAATCCAGAGGCTGTGGAGCTATGGACCATGAACAAGGCCTTCATCATCCATGCATGGCTGGTTGCCAGAGGGGATCCTCGGCCTGACGTTAGGGTCAAGGACATGGCCAAGTGCCTTGGGTTCTCCCTCTCAGATTCCCTGTTCAGCCTGCTAAATAATACCCCTAAAGTGTAAACCTTACCTAGTACCAGTACCAACGTAATATCTGACACATTCTGTTTTTGGCTCCCTTCGCCATTTTATTCACATGTGGGGCAGAACAATCAGAAAACAGGAGCCACAGATTTGATGCAGTATGTAGAAGGCACTACTAGCCTACCTATCCCGTCTGCTAGGACGCCTTATCAGAGTGAAACAAGGCAACAAACAACACATGGCTCCTAATCTTGATGTGCATGCTTTGGTCTCTGAGCAACCCAAGCAGATGAAATGGATACAGTGCTCCAGCAGCTACACCATACAGCGCAGAAGTGATGGCCTCCTGTGGGCCCAAAACCACTCCATGCATGAAGCCAATCAACCCACTCCCAAGGCCAAGAGGCACGGCCATCAGGAGGGCAATAATGGCAGGAAGGAAGACAGTAGGACTGCTCAGATTCCGCATGTTGAAAAGTGACCTGTGGCTCGCTCGCTGATCTCTCTGGCCTGCCTTAACCTTTTCTTTCTCCTTCTCCAGCTGTTCCCCCTTCATCCCCTCTTGGGATTTTTGCTGCTGCTCCTTCTCTTCTCCCATTTCTCCTTTGCCAGATTTCTTCTCGCCCCCTTCTCCCTCCCCTGCGCTCTCCTGTTGCTCTTTCTCCTCTTGCTCTTCCTCTGGGTGCTCCGGCAAGGTGGGGAGCCTCTTGCTTTGTGTTGCCTCCTCATTGGCTGCTCGCAGACCAGCCACTGGAGAGTGGTTTCTCCAGTCAGGACCGAATGCTGCAGCCATGTGGTTATGGTACCACTGGGTGCTGGCATGACCGGGGAAACGTGGTAGAGGAAAGAGAGGTCGAGAGTTAAAAAAGGGATTTAAGCAGAGGAGTGCCTGAAAGGGTTGTACCTGCATTTGTTGTCATAACTACAGCACTTCCAAAATGCTATTACGGTAAAAAACATGTCAGAGCCAGCATTCAAAAGCAGTTGATCCTTCTTTGTATTATTCACATGATATCAGCGCCTCTGTTACACTCGCAGCAGCACCTGGATTTGTAGTAAAAAATCAAGTTCACACCTGCGTCACCACTAAGAAGTCATGTCAATACCAGAGTTTGTGTATTAATTACGTCAGTGCAATTGTGTTCGAGTGAACGGAATATACCCGTACCCGCTATCATAGCACAGGTGCTTCTAAAACTGAGGTGAATAAATATGTCAACGTCAATGCCTGCAAAGATGACCACAACTCAACCATGCCATAACCTGGTTATGTCTTCACCTGTGTTAGCAGTACGAATAACTTGGTGATAGTTGCGTACATAATAACCAAGTCATTGCCTGCTTTGTGTTAAGAATTGATACGTAAGGTTATTGCTCATCATCAATCAAATCCTGCATTCGGTGTGAGATCAAGTCAGAATCTGCATGAGAGTGAAAGTTTGTGTTCATACCTGCGTTTGTGGTACGAGATCATCGCCACTACTGGAACGGCGTAGGCAAGGAAAGCGAACATGACCTCCACCTCCGACATGACGGCTACGGATCCACGAGGCAGATCCTCAGAAGCCATGGTCGCGCCTACGACTATAGGCGAAGAGAGCGAAAACCGGAGCAGCTGGTACAAAACCCGCCAAGATATGATGAAAGATGAAACAGTCGGCGGACAAACGAAATGGAAGATCCCTAACCCGACTAACCAGGTAGATCCGAAACGGACGTCCGAACTATGGCCTGGCACAATATTCCGATTCTCATGGATAACTAAATGTCATAAGAAGATAGGAATACGACTCAAGGAGAAGGCGTAAATGCGCCTTGGAGTTGCTAAGCACACAGCACACGACGGCGAAGAGGAATGAAATCGACAATAGCAGAAGTGAAGCACAGAGATGCTCACGAATGAACAAGGTGCTTCTTTTCGTGAATGCTGCTGGTCGCGGGAGATTCATTCGCTTTATTACCTCGTTATGTTGCTAAATATTGAGCAACAAATAACGTGCAACCTCAATATGTTGCTAGACAGGGGGCAACGTATAAGGTGCAAAAAACATTCCATAATTGGACTACCGTATCATACATATCGCTCGCATATTTGTTGTAACGGAGGGAATCACAAATATCATGTAAATATAATAGTTTCTGGAACAGTTCTTATGTATATCTATTAGGTCGCAGCAGTTGGAGCAGCTGCCGCTGTAGGAGCAGCCGCGACTGCAAAGCTACGTGGGTTGATGGTGATGCTCTTGGTGCAGTTGTGTGTCTTGTATATCCCAACAAGATGGTCTGCCAGCTCAAACATGTTGTTGCGCAAGCTGTGGAACAAGGAAGAGACACACGTCAGACAGTATTGAGGAGTGATACTATGAAAACAAAATATGCAATAGGGAAATCCTTCACGAATGCAGGGAGGCATACGATTGGAACCCAGGGAGAAGCGCGATGAGGCACAATGCGTGAATCACACCTGATGATGACAAACTGGGCGTTCTTAGTGCGCTCCTTGATGTAATGCGCCACTATAGACACGTTCTTGAAGTCTGCACGGCACAGACCAAGAGCCACACACACAGCAGCACATGAACATTTTCTCGTGCCCAACCACGAAGGTGCATTGCAGGAAGCATGACAGGACGCAATTTCGCATTGCTTGGTTTCACCATGCTCTTTTGACCTTTCCCATTCTCTTGTGCTATATGCTTCCAATCATTCCCCCGTTCATTCTCTCACTGTACACCGAAGGCAGCACTCAAGGCCCGTGTGGGACTCACCAAGAGCGGCGTCGATCTCATCCATGACGTAGAGGGGCGTGGGCTTGTAGTGGTGCAGGGCGAACACCAGCGCCAGCGAGCTCAGGGTCTGCAGCAGTGGGATAAGCACAGCAAGACGGTAAGGAGTCGGGCAGTTTAAAAAGCCGTTAATGCCATGGCACTGCGGCACTGTAAAGCACAAGCGCATCGGCACAGGGCGATGCCTGGCGCCTTGCCGGAAGCATTAGCACCCCGATCCAGGGAAGCAGGCAGCGCCGTACCTTCTCCCCGCCCGAGAGGTTGCAGATGTTCTTCCAGCTCTTCTTGGGCGGGCGCACGGAGAACACAATGCCCTCGCTGAACGGGTCGAGTGAGTCCACCAGCTCCAGCTCAGCGTCGCCGCCCAGTGTTATCATCTGGTACATCTCCTTGAGCCGCATTGTGATGGCGTCAAACCCCGCCATGAACTCCTCCAGCCGCCGCCGCTTCACCTCCTCCTGCGCCACGCGCACGCTGTCACGCTCCGCTGTCACTGCCTCCAGCTCGCCCAGCCTCTGCGCGTACACCGCCTCCTTCTTGCGGTACCTGCACCGCGCACCCACAGAGAAGGTCCAAGGTAGAAGCAGATGGTAAAAGGTTTAGACCATGCTCACACACCCACTACTGCTCACACTGATTCTTTGCTACTCATCTAGACACTCCTGCCACTCACATACGTTCATGAACGAGAGCCATCCAGTGGCAGCAGGCAGCGCACTCACTCGGCCATGGAGCTCAGGTTGACGTTCCCCTTGAGTGCCTCCAACTCTGCTCGCAGCCGCTGCTCCCCTGCTGCCGCCTCCTCCCGACTGGTAACCGCACGGACAAGGTTACCACACAGGCGACCCAGAAGCCTCTCCACCTCACCGTCTCCCTCATCTTCCGTCCCTGTCTCACCCGCACCTCCCTCCCTCTGCTCTGCATCTTCATCCTCCTCCATCTCCTCATCCTCCCCTCCTCCTCTTTCTGCTGCGCCTGCTGCTGCTGGTCGTGCCCTGCCCTGTCTCTCCCCATCCTCTTCCTGAAGGTCCCATGGCAGCCCTGCAGCCTCCACGTCCTCCTCTGCAATGCCCTCCGCTTGCATCCTGGAAAGGGCACGGACGGATGGTGGGCACAGGAGAGATGAGGGGATGGGTTTGGGCCTTGTACAGAAGAGGCTTCGGGATCGTGTGAAGGTGCACTAGTGTGTGCTGTAAGAGGCAGCTGCAGCACGGAGCTGTGCGATGGACTCACTGAGCGATGTGCTGCCTGAGCTGCGCTCCCAGCGACCTCAGCTTCTCCCTCTGCAGGCGAGCAGTCTCCTGACTCGTCCTCAGCGCCTTCCTCGCATCTTCCAGCTTCAATTCCACGTCCACCTGAGGGCACGAGAAGTGATGTCAGAGGATGTGGAGAAGAAGGGACCCCAGAAAAAGGTAATGCTCGATAAGAGTACTCCACTCAAATTCAACCCGTCTCACCTGCTGTCTGTTCCTCTCACCTCCCCAGTGCGCATCTCACCTCCCCAGTGCGCATCTCACCTCCCCGGTGCGCATCTCACCTCCCCGGTGCGCATCTCACCTCCCCGGTGCGCATCTTGTCGAGCTGTGCCTTGATGGCCAGGAACTCCTTCTTCATGCCGCCATACTCCTCCTTCTTGCCCTCCACCAACTGCCCCCACCACATGCCATGCCAGCACAGGTAGACGAGGAAGAGAAGGATGGAAACAGATTTAGAAAATTATGAAGGAAAGAGGGAAAAGTGGAGGTGAGGGGACAAAGAACGTTTTGCGAGAGGCCATTCCTTTACCCCGCTCTTCAGCGCACCTGGCGGAGGCGTTCGTAGTTGTCGTTGACAGCGAAGGCCTCCTGCATGACGGCGTTCATCTCCTCCTTCTTCCGTGTCATCTCCTCCTCCGCCCTCGCCTTCTCCTCCTCCGCCTCCCCCACCGCCTTCCTCAGCTTCTCCAGGTTGCGGCCACTTGAGGCCACTGTCACTCGGCTCTGGTTGATGCCCGTCTGCGCCTCGTCAATGGCCTGTGACAGCACATCATAGGGGAATGGTGAATGGACAGGTTCCACTCATCTGTGTTCCCTGCGGCTAAGCACGGCTGGGTTGTGTATAGTATGGTTGACATGCATACGCAATCAACCCTGGCACATGTGACCCAGTGCCCTCGCAAGACCTTCATTCCCAGTTGCTCATCCCCTTGCCACCCCCAGCACTCATCACTCATTTCATTGCAGCTCGCCCCTACGACCCCACGCCCCACCTTTTGGATGGCGGCCACGTGGTCCTTCTGTTGGCCCAGCGCCTCCCTGCCGGCATCAGCGATGGCCTGCTGCACGCGCGCCACCGCCGCCACCAGCGGCGCCATCTCCTCCCCAATGCGCGCCTCCTCGCCCTCCTCGTCCGCCAGCTGCTGCTGCAGCGCGCCCATCTGCCTCTCCTCCTCCGCACTCGCCACGGCCGCTGCCTGCAGCCCCTGCACGCGCTGCCTAAGCTCGCCCACCTGCGCTGCCAGCGACTCAATCTGCCCGGGACGGGAGAGAGAACGAGGGAGAGAGTGACATGCGTGAGAGGCGTGAACTGTGAGCAGTGCAACATCCAAGAGCATCAAAGGGAGACGGTGTCAAACATAAGCGGTTACCCAGCTAGTTCCCTCCCCGCCCCTGCTGCGCACCTCCATCTGGACCTTGGGAATGTCCATTCCCAGCCGCTTCAACACCCTCTCCGCCTCCTCTCTTCTCGCCACAGCCGCGCGCCTCTCCTCCCTCACTCGCTCCAGCTGCGCCACCGCGTGCGCCACCTCCCTCTCCGCCTCCTCCACCATCTCCCGCGTCACCCCCCCGCCTGCCGCCGCCGCCGCCGCCTTCAGCGAGCTGCCCATGCGGCCGCCGCGGGGCCGCCCCCCGCCGCCCGCCATGGTGCCGCTGGACTCGAACATCTCGCCCGCCACCGTCACCACCCGCCTGAACCGCGCGTCCGCGCCGTACGCGATGCGCGAGGCCTGGTCGAGGGAGGAGGCGACGAGCGTGTTGCGCAGGGCGAACCAGAAGGCGGGCAGCAGGCGCGCGTCCTGCACCTGCACCAGGTCGAACAGCCGTGGCACTCCCTCCGGCGTGTTGACCTTCTCAGACATGTCCCGCACCAGGTGCTGCTGCTTGTCCTGACGCATGGTGGGAGCGGAGAGGGGGTTGGGGGGGTTAAAGAGAGGAGTGGCGGAGGGAAAATGAGTGAGAAACGACTGTGTGGAAGCGGGATGGAGGGCGAGCAGAAATGTTGCAGTGGCGGTAATTTGAAAGAGAGAGCTCAGAAACTGCGGGAATTGCACAGCACATAGGACGGGAAGGCAACGAGCAAGGAACCAACAAGGCGCAGGGGGGTGTACCAGGGCGAGGAAGGTCTGCACGCCCAGCTGCTGCTCCCTGAGCAGCGCCGTGCAGGCCTGTGCGGTCTCGATGTTGTCCACCACTATGTACTCCAGTGCACCGCACGCCGTTGATATCGCCACGTCGTACTTGCCTGCACATAGCATGCCATGCCGCGCATAAGCGAGAACGCAAGGTGAGCGGTGAGCGCGAGACAGGGGTTGATGAGGACACATTTGAAAAGCATACCACCATCTACTCCAGCATGCGAAAACGCTCTTGATATCACCAAATCATGCCCTTACTCCCCCACTTGTCCCCCTTGAAGCGCCTCACCGTCAATGGCGCCCAGGTCGCCCAGGCGGCCGTAGATGCCGGGGATGCTGCCGTCCCGCTTCGCCTGCATCAGCGCCGTCAGGATGGCGCTGCTGCTGCGCTGCGCCGCTGCCGCCTCCCTCATCTCCGCCGCGCGCCCCTGTGCAGCCTCCGCCTCTGCGCGCGCAGCTGCCTCCTCCTCCGCCTTGGTCTCCTCCTCCTTGGCGCTAGCGGCCACCACCGCCTCGCTCTCCCTCACGGCCGCCTCCATGCGCTTCAGCTGCTCCTGCTTCTGCTTCCGCCCCTCCTCGCGCTCCTCTATGGCCTTGCGCACCGCCTCCAGCTGCTTCTCAGCGGCGGCGTGCTTGTCGCGGATGAGGCTCAGCTTCGTGCGCGTCACGTCCGCCTTGGCCTTGGCGGCGCTCGCCTTCTCCTCCCACGGCGCCAGCTGCTCCTGCAGCGGGCCCAGCTGCTGCTGCTGCCGCTCCACCTCCACTGCCACACACATCACAAAGGTAAGTTCAGATAAGTTGTTGTTAGTCACAGGGGCTGCTGGGGGAACGGAGAGGAGGGAACATGAGACTCACGGCGGCTCACCTCGGACCTGCTCCTGGATGCTCTCCAGCTTCTTCTCCGCCTCCACCAGCCGAGGCGCCAGCGCGGCTGCCTTCTTCTCCAACTCGGGGATGGCCGTTTCCGCCTCCGCCGCTGCCTTCTCCACCTCCTCCGCCTTGGCCGTGTCCTGTTCAGTTCAACACGGAAACACTTCTGTAAGAAAGGCGAGAGGCTCACGCAAGCTCAAGCGAGAAGCAGCAGTACAATCCCACCCAGGTCGTGAAATGACGCCCTAGGCAACAGCCTGTGATCTTGGCGGTTACTGAACGTCTGGCACATGCGTGGAGGTGCGAAGCTCACCTTGGCGATCTTATCGGCGAGCTTCTTGAGGCGCGCCTTGCAGTGTTTGAGGTCTTCGCGCATCTTCACGTCCTTGCGCTCGTACTCCTTGAAGTCCGCCCTCGCCGCCTCCAGCTCGCCGCACAGCGCCTGCCACGCCGTGCAGTGCAGTGCAGTGCAGTGGAACACATGGAGTCACGCTGGTGAAAGGTGAAAGATGCAATGCGTCGCTTGCCACGCAGTGAACTCGCGGGTCTCTACAGCTGACAAGCAAACACCTCAGCCGTCCTTCCTGTTCAACCCTTTCGCTCTCTCCCCACAGTTCGTTGGGGATCCAACCACACACGCCCGCTCCACCCCTCGCGAACGACCCCTCACTGCTGTCGTCCCTCCGTTTGGCTCACCTCATACTCCGTGTTGCACTTGTCGCACGCGTCTGTCTTCACCTGCAGCTCCTCCCGCAGCCCGGAGCACTTCTCCCTGCACGCACGCACGGAGATGGAGGCACATGAATCCTGGTCAACGTACACGAGCACACTCACCCGCTTCACATTTCTCCCGTGCGTATCCCACTCCCCATCCCACTTCCCCACGCTGGTCCTCTGACCTTCCTTCCTCTGCGATTCCTTTACCCCTTCCTACGGCCTACCCTCTTCATTTCGTGCAGCTCTTCGCCCCATCAACCCCCCCACTCACTTCTCAGCGGCCAGCGTGCCCTCCAGCTCCGCCACCTTGGCGCCCAGCGCGCCCGCCTTGCCCTGCGACTCCCGCAGCCCCATCGCGCGCCCCACCATGGCCCACTGCGCGCACTGCGCCTCCTTCACCATGTACGCCTCCGCCGCCCGCTTCGCCTCCTGCCGCACAGCGCGCATAAAGGGGGTCAGGCAGGGAGGGAGCAAACGGTTAGCGGGAGGGCACGAGGGCATCGCGCGTTGAGGACACAGTGCAGGATGGTAGCGCATGACATCATGGCTCTTCCAACCAGCAAACGCAGAACAAGACATGTTTCTCAATCTCCCTCTCGTTCCCCTACAGCATTCACCATACACCCCTAACCTCCCCGCAGCAGCCACCACTCTGACCTCGAGCGTGTCCTTGTCCTTCTCCGCGTGCTTCACTCGCTCCACCAGCCCCACCCGCCGCTCGTTCAGCTCCTCCAGCCTGCACACGCCGCCACACCCGCACCACACACGCGAGTCAACAACCGTCGGCGCATTGCCACAGCCAAACCGCACGATTTCCCATTCCAACAAGCAACACCGCTCAAGAACGACCGGCCGGGCGAAGCATGAGAGGCAGGGAGGCAGGTAGGCAGTGGAGGGAGCTCACTGTTTGGCGCCCTTGTCGATCTGTTCGATGTACTGGTTGGAGCCGATGATGTCCTCCAGGTACTCCAGCAGCCCCTCGTCGTGCGGGCCCTGCGCCTTGGGCTTCATCATCGCGATCTGCTCCACCTCGCCCTGCGCCGCGGATACGAGCAATGGGAACGAACGTCTTTATCAACGATGACAAGTGAACGAGCGCGGGAATAAATCTGGCAACTGACAAGTACTAACAGGATCAGGGGAACTCTAACACCCACGGGGCCAGCAGACAGTGCTTTGATAGTCCCAAAGTTCAGGCTAATCGCGCGTCTACCGCTGTCTTTACTAGCTTGGCAGCGGCGCGCACCTGCAGGATGAGGAAGCGGTTGTTGTCGAGGTCGACGCCCTTGGCCTTGAGCAGCCTCGTCACCTCCGTGAACGTGCTCGCGTGGTCGTCCACGTGGTACTTGGACGTGTTGTTGCGGTACGCCGTACGCGATATAACGAACTCCGAACCTGGCACTGACTCGTACTTTTCGTCATCCTGAAACGCCAAGAATGCAGCGTCTGAGAATTCCGTCGCATGATGAAAAAACCGTCATGGCAGAGTTCGAATACGGCCGTCGCTTGCTGCTTCTATGCTGCTAGAGCCTGGACTTACCAAATCAACTATCTCCTTGAAGTGCACGGATACGCGGGCCGACTCAAGATTCTGATGGTCTGTGGAGTTGTGAATCAGCTCCGACACCTTGTTCAGTCGCAGCTGCAAGGATATGCCATGGATGTAAACAAATTAGTCAGTTCCGTGAATGCCAGATTTTTCAGAAAGCTTTTACGAACTGCACGAAAGGAATTCACGCACGATTGGCATAGTCATAGCAAACCAGGGAGTTATTGTCGTTGGATTAAGCAGCAGACGTACCTGCTTCGCGCGTTTCCCGAAGACGAAGAGCATGGCGTCAATCACGTTGCTCTTGCCGCTGCCATTGGGGCCGACGACCGACGAGAAGCACTTGTGGAACGGACCTACGCGCTGCACCCCAGCGTACGACTTGAAGTTCTCGAGGACCATCTCCGTGATGATCAGCCTGCTCTGACCGCCGTGCGATGATCGCTCAGCTCCAGATGATGGAGGCGGGCTAGATCCGGCGGCTTGGTCATCGGGAATCCCCATCGCTAGTCGTGGAAATACGAGAACTCTGAATCCTAATTGTCTTCTCACTCTTCAGTTTTAAAGCAGCGGGAAGCTATCAACAGATATGGCCTGTCGTGTCTCTATCAAAACTCTACAATTTCTTTCAAAATCGTCGCTGAGGACTATAGCGGTCAGGTGTCCAAGATCGAATTCACTGGCGCGAGTCAACAAAGCAGTTGACCTGACGTGCCCACAAGGCAAAACTACTAAATAAAATAGGAACAATTGCAACTATATGACTTTGACTAGGGTAACGTCGTGAGGACGACCAGGCAAAGCCCTTTAAAATGGCTGAAGAGCCTAAAAGAAATTACCAGCGCGAACCTGTGGAGTCGCTGAGGAACTGGCTTGATAGATCAGCAGCCGAAGACAATGTTGAGGGAGAAGAACCTAGGAATTTGCAGCACGGATTCCCCACCTCGGGCTTGCATTTCTGTGAGGGGAGGAGAGGAGGCCTATCAAAAGGCTACCGGGCGACTCCAGGTGGGTGAGCCAATGGGAAGTACACAGCACCTGCGAGCCAGTCCCGAGGTGTTCAAAATTTCCCGCGCATTTCTGACACTGACAGCGTTTCCCGATAGGAAACTGGCTCTCGCGCTTCATACAGCAGGTCCATGTTCATTTGTTCAGATATACGGGGACGAAACACTTAACCTTTAAAATAGAATGATTGAGCTACCTTTAAAATAGAATGATTGAGCTAACACTCCAAATTAATGGAATGATTCTTCTGACAACCAGAGGTACTTCTTTGAATTGGCTCTGTAGATGCTAAATTGATCAATTATTAAGCACACAAATCACATGTTAGCATAAAACTTTTGAAAAACTCAACCAAACATACAAGGGAATTAAATCGTCATAAGAAATGCAACAAAAACAAAACAGTATCGGTATCAAGCACATGCTGAATCTCGTTCGGTAGTGATCCTTCTGCAGCCATCCCCCGGCAACCACCCTTCAGTACCCATTGTTCAGTAGCCGCCAGCACCATACCCTCCACCACCATATCCACCTCCCCTGCCACCACCACCTCCACCACCACCACCACCACCACCAGGGCAGTCTCGCGCCCAGTGACCTGACCCCCCACACTTAAAACACGAACCACTCCCTCCCCCTCCCCCACCCCCACCGCCACCACCGCCACCATAACCACCACCACCCCCACCCCCGTAACCACCCCCACCACCTGCGCCCCCACCAGCACCACCAGCAGGACAGTCTCTCGCCCAGTGGCCCGATCCCCCACACTTGAAGCACGACCCACCCCCTCCTCCACCACCGCCCCCACCACCCCTGCCCCCACTGCCACCATCAAACCCCCCACCCCCACCGTAACCTCCCCCACCCCCACCATAGCCACCACCTCCCCCACCACCACCACCATAAGCACTGCTGTTATACCCACCACCGCCACCAGCACCACCAGCAGCGCCCCCATATCCCCCTCCTCCGCCAGCATACCCCCCACCTGCACCACCCCCACGGCCCACCTGCATGCTCCCAACACCAGCAGACAGCCCAGGGGAAGCCAGAACAGGCGCAGTGAGTGGCTCTCCCCGCTGCAGCCGGCCAATGTAATCCAGCAGCACGCGGCTCTCAGCCGCATAGTTGACGGGCTCCGCCTTGACCACGGTGCACTTCACCTTGGCCTCGTCCTGCCACGTCTCCTCTCGCACCTTGAGCTTCAGCACCCACTGGCTCCACTGCGCGTTGGCAAACACCTCCCCCGCCCGCAGGTCGTTCTCCTCGCGCCACCTGTTGATCTCCGATGCAGGCGTCTTCAGCATCTCCTCGGAGACTTCCTGGAAGGCGGAGAGCCAGGTCATGCCGGTGTGGTCCTGCAACTGGAAGCTGAGAATGTACCGGAAGTCACACGTGGGTGTGGCGCGGCCGCACTTCTCACAGTACCACCCGTCGCCATTGCTGTCCTGCACCACCTTCTTCTGGCACTGCCGCCCCTCGGCCGTCGTGAGCGGGCACGCGGGGTAGTAGCAGTTATCGGCACGGAAGTACGACACGGTGCCGCGCACGGAGATCCAGTCCACCTTGCCGCCCAGCCCCAGCCCCTCGTCCTTGATCGCCGCTATCATCTTGCGCGGCTCCCTGCCTGTCCCGCCCCCGCCCGCCCCGCCAAACTCGGAGGAGATGACCTGCACGGGCATGGACGCGCCCCCCCCAGCGGTGTACCAGGCGGCGAGCTCCTTGGCCTGGGGGATGTCGGGGTTGATGGCGAGCTGCGTGGACGATATGGTGCCCAGCGACTTGCCGCTGAAGTCGCTCACCCGCCCCGCCTTGATCGCCAGCACCGGGTGCTGCCCTGCTTCCACCAGCTCCTGGTGACGGGTAGCAGCAAGGGGGGGAAAGGGGGGGAGGGGGTATAGTTCATTTCTGGATGGCAACGGGCTCGTTATCACTCCTCTCGCAATGCTCACGTCACCTGCAGCGAATGAACCCATCCCCTATGACGCCCCATCACCCCCAAATCATTCTCCCTCCCCCACCCCAACCCCCCCCCGCACACACGCCCTATCACCCCCCATCACCCCCTATCACGCCCAACCACGCGCGCCTGACCTGCAGCTGCTGCCCCTCGGCGCTGCAGAAGCCGCCCCACATGGTGAGCTCCGTCTGCCGCCCGGACTGGTCGCGGATCATGCAGGTGCGCTTCATGGTCTCGGTGCCGTTGCGCCGCATGATGCTCGCGCTCGCGCCCACCGACACCACCACGCCCAGCACGTCCGCCACGCTGTTGTTCTCCATGCCCGCCACGTCAGCGATGGTGCGGAAGTCGTACTGGATGGCGCCGATGGCGCCGTCGTCGGGGCAGAGGTCGAGCGCGGAGGACGCGTCCAGCATGATCTCCCAGTCGCTGCGCAGGTGGTTGTACATGCGCTGCGCCGGCTTCAGACTGCCCTTGGACAGCAGGTACACCTGCCCCTTCTGCTCCATGACAGGACGGACGGAGGGAAGGAGGATGGACGGAGGGAACGGGACGTCAGAAAGAGAGTCGGGAGAGGATCACAGAGGAATGTGATACACGGGACGGGAAAAGAGGGCGCGTAGGTCAACGGAGATTGCCAAGCTGATCGCCATCGACCAGTTGCTCCGCTGGCAGCTATGGCACCCGGCTACCTGGCGCTCACCCTAGTGCTCTCCCGGCGGGCCGCACCTGGATCTTGTCGAAGAAGCTGTCGACCTCGCGGTTGAAGCACGTGACGCGGATCTCGCCGCCCTCGGCGTCGAGCAGGTCGAAGCTGAAGACCTTGCCCTCGCCGCGCGCGTTGTTGTACCGCCGGATGTCGCCCTTGGACGTCACGCGCGCCTTGATCGTCCACTTGCCCAGGTACGGGTTCAGCGAGTCAATCGGCACCACCCGCGCGTGCGCCTCGTTCCGCGCCACGGGCCCGCGCGCGGAGTAAGACGGCGGCGGAGCTGCTCCGCCCCCTCCCCCGTATCCCCCGCCGCCGCCTGCGCCTGGGCCGCCAGCGAACCCTCCTCCGTGACTAGCGGCGGAACCTCCGCCAGGAGGCCCACTTCCCCCGGAATACTGCGACTGTTTCTGCTGCTGCTGTTGTTGCTGCTGCTGCTGACCGAAGCCACCAGCGGCGTACGGGTTGGGCGGGACTGACTGGGGTGCATTGGGCGGATGAGTAACGCCCGGCGGGCCGTGCTGCGCCATAGAGGGAGTGTTGGACGGCTGCTGCGGCGGCGGCTGGTGCTGCGGGGGTGGGGCGGCGGAGTTGTTGGTGATTGTGCTGGCGGGGGTTGACGACGGCTGCTGGCGCGGAGGCGGGGCCTGGCCGTCGGCGGGGAAGGGCTGTGGATCGCCGATGATGGGAGCGTCGGTCTTGACCACCTCCATCTTTAAAATGATTACGATCCTGCATGGCACGCACACGGGTGGCACACACATGTCAGGAATGCGATAGGAAATATAAATAGAATCAATAACGGATGGTCGTAGTTGTAGGCTGCTGTACGTCGCTGTAAAGCTCGTCAACTGCTTTGCCATGCACCAGCGATGCTGTCAATACATTCATCTCGCTTTTCCGACTTACTTTTTCCCGTGAACAGTGTTGGTGACGCACTCCGTGAGATTTATTATGGAGCCCTTTTTAACGGAGGTGCGCATGAGCTCGTTCATCTGCGACGCGATCATGGCCCACTGGTGCCACCGCCCGTCCGACAGCATCAGCCGGTATCGCTCCTGCGCGGGCGGCACGGATGCGCTCCCGACCTGTCGCGAGTCGAACACTTGCAGGATGAAGTTGCCATCCGTCGCACCAGAGTTTAGAATCTCAAGCGCGTTCGGAGTTAACTCCGACGCCATGGCGATGGCGACGGAAACAGGTACAAACAACGATAAATCAAAATAAGCACGATAAGTTGTCAATCGTCGCCTATCAGAAGTGCTGCTATGCCGCCTTACACTCTGAGTCAATAAATCGCTACTCGACTGAATATTCAATCCTGAGAACGGAGCACAAGGAACTGAATGGTGGTGTGCCGAAACAGGCTTCTTGAAGTTGCCGCATGCCTTGGAATCCGTTTTGTCGTGCTGCAGTGTGGTGCTGAAGTTTGAACTTTCAAACTCGGAACTGGATCGCTGCTTGACGAAGAGCTGAGGCACATTTCGCTGGGGAGGTAGGTTACTCGTGACGAGAGCTCTCGACGGCCAGGATTCACGAGCGAAGGTGCTCAACCCCCGCTTGTGCTGCCATGGCGTCACCTTGAAGCATACTAAACGCACATAAAAGAATTAAAAAACGAATGATAGCTGGCACGGATCTGTGGCGCAATGGTAGCGCGTCTGACTCCAGATCAGAAGGTTGCGTGTTCGATTCACGTCAGGTTCAACGCCTGCTTTTTGAAACCCCCATATTTTGAAGGCCCCAGAAGACTCCAGATCAGAAGGTTGCGTGTTCGATTCACGTCAGGTTCAACGCCTGCTTTTTGAAACCCCCATATTTTGAAGGCCCCAGAAATCAAGTATCATTTCCTTGACATGACAGTCACTTTTCCCTTCTCTTGTGCAAATGCTTTCCTCCGGTGTGTGCAACGTGTCTCCAGTTGTTACCTCAGTGTGATTTGAAAGCCATCCAATTTCGGATCAATGTTCCATGGTATCGTACAAGAAAGACACCTGCCTTGTAGAGTGAGCACATAGAGTGCAATGGAGAATGGCCGTGGCACTTGAGACACGGTCACTGCAGATTGCCCTTGAGAAGAGGTACCGTATTCAGTAGTGTATGCTAGTACAGGTCCAATTCTCCACTGGTACAGAAATATTCCGCTTCACGTGCATACACGCCATTGCCTACAAAACAACTACACCCTGCACTCTGCACCCCCCCCACAGCAGCCAGCCCATTTAGAGGGACTCGAGGAGGGCCTTTTCCATGCGGCGGATCTTGGAGCGGATGGAGAGGTCGATGTGCTTGTCGCCGATGTCCACCAGCACGCCGCCAATGATGCTGCGGTCCACCCGCTGCTGCAGCTGCAGCGTCTGCCCCGCCTCCAGCATGCCCGTCAGCGCCTCCCTCACCTCCGCTAGCTCCGCTGGGGTCAGCTCCTGGGAAGACGGAAAGGGGCGGGGAGGTGGTGAGAGGGAAGTGCGAGGGGAGAAGGGAGTGGAGAAGGGGCGAGGCGGAGCGAAGTGGTGTGAGCGGCGAGGGTTTGGGGAGGGGAAGAAATGGCATAGAACAGAGAGTGCAATTGACTTATGAAGCGTGCAGGCCACCAACTGGTCAGCACGTGGCTGGTGGAAATGGGAAAGCAGCATGCGATGCGAGGGGACTCACGAGGGCAGCGGTGACGGTGGCCTTGACCTGGCCGCGGTGGGCCATGAGAATGTCCTCGTAGGTGGCCGCTATCTTGGGCAGGTACGACAGCCTCCCCGCATCCGCCAGCACAGCTGCCCCACACATGCACGACAAGGGGCGGTTGGGGAGGAAAATGGGGGAAGGGAAGCGGGGGGGGAGGCGAAACACCATTTGGGTATGGAGCGGATGGCAGGACAGTATGGATACTGTTGGTGTGGCCTTCCCAGCTCGCTGTTATCACATTCGTCACAAATCCACCCACCCGGCGGCCCCCCTCACTGAGCGAGTTATTGGTGATGGCCGAGCAGCTGGCATGGAAAAAGATGTCCTCCACAGCCTTCCCTGCTCGCTACTATCACACCTCAACACAGCCGCACCCCACCCACCGCTCTCAAAGGCGTACCGAGGAAGTTTTTGGTGATGGGCGAGTACTTGGCCTGCGAGAAGATGTCCTCCACGGCCTTCACGCGCACCTCGCGCGACACCGACGGGTCGCGCAGGAACGACGCGAAGGTGGGGTTGGCGCCCGTGACGGCCGCCAGCTCGCGCATCTCGCGCTCCACCGCGTCCACCTTCCCGCCGCGCACCGCCGACACGTACAGCGCCGACGCGTACTTGCCCGCCACGCCGAACACCGCCGTCGGTACCTGCCGCGCGGACGAGGTGCGCGGGGGAGGGGAGGTGTAGGGGGGAGGGAGAGGTGAGGGGGAAGAGTGAGAGGGGAGCGTTGTGGTCGGTCAGGCGAGAAGGAAAGGGGAAGCTGACGCACTCCACGCGGAGCATCAACCACTCCTTCCCCCTCTCTCCCCCCATTCCTGCATCCCCCACGCCAACAACAAGACAGGCGTCTCACGTACCTTTACATCAGCGGGGGCAGCCTCGGCGGCAAAGGATCGAATCGCCTGCGAAGCGCATTGGAAAAGAGGGACGAGAAGGAAGCGTCGAGACGGATGGAGAGAGGAGGAGAAGGCAGCAATGCGTTTAGGTTTCGCTGAGCAAGATCCAACGGCGTACAGGCGGTCGAGATTCACAGAAAGGACAAGCTGTACGGAAAATCGGATTGCTGATCCAACACCAGTGGACAGAAGTATCTGACTCGAAAGTTTGACGGAGGAAAGACCTAAGTCGAGTTTGAAGCTAGGGGTGGCCGTGGTCCCTTCTTACATGGTGAACGGCCCCAGATCGATTAGCTAGACGACTGAGCGAACGGAACATGGTGACAGCGGAAGTGGTGGCGACGATTACGGATGTGATGGATGTGGAATGGTGGAGCGGAGGTTGCGGCGGCGATTGCGGAAAATGGGTGTCGTATGGAGGGAACAACACGTCGAATAAACGCCTCCACTGAGTCGCTCGCTATATCGCTTGTTGGGAAGATCACATGTGGAAATTGGCTTGCATAAGGAAAATGTGTGTAAGGCTTATTGAATATGTTGATCTACAGTAAGTGTAACATCAATAACTAGCCACGTCATCCAGCCTCAGCCATCCAAAGCCCTTCTCTGCATGCAAGTGCCTGTTTGCAATCGCAAAAATGTAGAATTTAGGCTTGAAGGTCAGTTTGACACACCCGATTCCGCTCCGTTGTGTCGCCGAAAGTTGAAATAACGTGAAACCAAACAACTTTCGGCGGTGTGTAAACGATCCCTGAGGATCCGGGTCAGGAAGTTCTTTGGGGCTGCAGAGATCTGAAGGTCCATTCGAACACTCGAAGCATTTCGAAACCCAGACTATAAAAATCATCCACATTGTTTGGCAGTCTCCGTCAGCTTGACGCCCCTGTTGCCTGCCGTTCCGTTCCAGTTCCCGTCAGGGTTTCGCAATTTCCGTCCAATTTTGCTAGGCTTCGCAACCCAACCCTCCTGGTGGTGCTCACCGATCTGGGCACCAACACCTGCTCTGCAAGCTACCCTCCTTCCTCCAACCCAACTGCTCCTGTGTACCTGACTTAGGAACCACATCGGCAACCATGAGGAAGAAGCTTGACACTCGGTTTCCAGCGGTACGTGCAGCGTTCGTCCTCCTTTTTTGCAGTGTGACGTGTTCATCTTCCACTCAGGCTTCATGTTTTGTTGTCGCGTTTGTGGTCTTCAGGCGCGAATAAAGAAGATCATGCAAGCGGATGAAGAAGTCGGAAAGATAGCGCTCGCAACTCCTGTTCTGATATGTACGTTGGAAAGATATTTGTGTCTGCTACCTCCTTCTCGCTTTATGGATTTTTTTTCTCAACTAAGTCTGTTTGTTGCATGCCTCCGTTTCCATATGTTTTCGGGGTTAGATGTGCAGCCAAGGCCCTAGAGATTTTCCTCCAGGACTTGTGTGATCGGACGTATGATATCACTTGCAAGCGCGGGGCGAAAACCCTGGCCGCGTCCCATTTGTAGGTTATATTGTACGTTATTTTTCCGTCGCATCTTTTATTGCAAAGAATGTCATGCATTTTTTCTTGTGCTAATCAACTGTCGACCGACACTGTGTTGCAGGAAACAGTGCGTCGCCTCTTTCAGCGAGTACGATTTTTTGAAAGAAGTCGTTTCCAAACTTCCAGATGTTGACGCCCCGGACTCTCCTGATGACGCCCCATCCGGTCGCGCGAAGAGGTGAGATTATTGTAGCAGTAAACTGAAATCGCGACTACGGTTGTGAGCTTTGACTTCACGATTGATTCTGCTTCGTCCTTTCTGCCGCAGGAAGCTGTCCGACGATGATCAAGAAGATCCTGTTTCTCCGAAATTTAGGGTGAGCAGATTGCTGCTTTTTGTTCAGCTCGAAGATGCGAGTTGTCGCGGGCTCACCAGTCTTTGCTTCTTGCGTTGTCTTAACAGGAATCGAAGGGGACTAACCGTGGGAGATCAAACGGCTGCAACGAAGTGGTGAATGCGGAAGTCAAGTTAAAGAACGGCAATCCAATCTCAAGTGCAAGAGCTGAAGGCTCCAGTGGCTCTGGTTCAAGGAAGCGAGATGAAGCGGATGATCTCAGCAAGCCAACAAAAAGGTCAAAAGCTCTGTCCGACCAGCCAAGGCCGTTTAAGGTGCTTTGCAAAGTGAAGATTCCGAGGAGAAATGACTGCGATGCTGAGGAGACTCCAATTGCAATTAATGAGCCAAAGGTGGAACACCTTCGAGCAGTGAAGACAGAAGCAAGACCAGTCAAGAGGGAAGCTGACTCGAATGCAGAAGTGAAGGCAGAAGCAAGCCCGCGTGGGTTTGACCTCAATTTTGACTTGAACGCGGAGCCACCTGAAGATGCAGCATGCAACAAGGATGATAGTAGCAATGGTCAGCCTCCTGGAGAGTCGAATAGCAATGACGATGAACCTCATGGTATTGACTGCCAAGAGAAACCAACTGCTGTTGATAGTGGCCCTTGCCAAAAAGCTCTTGTAGATGCTCCCCTCCTCAGAAACTGTGCTAATTACGATAGTGAGGATGACTACGACTGTGATGGCGGGGCGTAGACTTGCCATGTACACAACTTATTCTAATGTATCTAACCTGGTTTTACAGTATGTTGCTCAAACCCCCTAAGCAGTGCTGCTATCTCCTAAACCTTCTCCTCCCGTCCTACAGGATCCACGTGAAAGTCAACAGCAAGGATGGATTCACTCAAGGGCAGCACATGCTGTCGCAGCACCTGCCGGTGGCTGGGGTGCTTGTTGTAAGCATCCAGTGCCTCCTCTGTGATCACGCACAATGTGGCAGGGGAGACAGAGATTGGGGTACTTAAGATGCGAAGGTAGGCAGGTACATCTGTCCCCGGTACTGTATGTTCAGAAACGACGGGGGTGCATGGGTATACAGGTTGATATCTGAAGGAGGGATGTTTAGTGATGAGGTCAATTTTGCCTTCGGGGTAGGTGGTCTGGGGGAGCATGGTGTTCACCTTGACCGAGCCTACATGGGCCTGAGGGCCTGAGCGTACATAGACCTGGGTGAGGGTGCATCCACCTGAGGGTGCATCCACCTGAGGGTGCATCCACCTGAGGGTGCATCCACCTGAGGGTGCATCCACCTGAGGGTGCATCCACCTGAGGGTGCATCCACCTGAGGGTGCATCCACCTGAGGGTGCATCCACCTGAGGGTGCATCCACCTGAGGGTGCATCCACCTGAGGGTGCATCCACCTGAGGGTGCATCCACCTGAGGGTGCATCCACCTGAGGGTGCATCCACCTGAGGGTGCATCCACCTGAGGGTGCATCCACCTGAGGGTGCATCCACCTGAGGGTGCATCCACCTGAGGGTGCATCCACCTGAGCGTACACCAACCTGAGGGGAATCTCGCCACGAGCCCGTGAGTGAAGCCCTTGGCGGTGTCGACAGCAAAGTTGGCACCGGCAGTGAGCTGCACGAGGATGTGTGCGTCCATGGCTTGTGGCAGCGCAGCCAGCGCCTCCACCATGGCACTCTGCTTCTCCGCCTCCACTGCTGGCTTGGCACGCAGCAACACCACATGCTCCACTCCCCTCTCATACGCCTGCTCAGACCGTGCCGGTGAGTGGTGAGCACAAGGAGCGAAAGGAGGAGGAACAAAACGAAGGTGGGTGAGGAAGGGCATCAGAAGGCGCAGCAGAAGGAGACGAGAGAGTGAAGTGAAGGTGAGAGTACGGGGGACGGGGGTGCCAGAAGGAATAGACAAGGGGGGTGTGGACGAGGGGGAGAGGAGAGGAGAGGAGAGGAGAGGAGGGGAGAGGAGGGGAGAGCAGGGGACTGACATCGCCACGTCTGAAGACGCTCTCTATGTCCGCCTCCACCTGGGCCTCGTATGACAGTGATAGCGTGTCCTGCTCCCATGCATGCACTCCATCGCATTCACGCACACATGTTGACGCACGCACGCTCACCCCCGTTTTCCCTCCCACACATGCATAGACAAACAGATACACAAGCAGACAGAGAAGAAGAATGGAATGAAATGCGCGATTGGAAACACAGGAACAGGACAACGGAGTCGTGGAAAGGACACAAGGTATCAAACAGGCAGGGACCGAGGAAGTGGGAGGAGCAAGGGGGTGCATGTGGGTGCGGCGAACTGCTACATGGCAGACTGGTTCTAGGGGAGTGGGAGTATGTGACGAGAACCCAATGCTGCCAAGTGGAGAGCGGAGTAACTGCTGGGGCCGCACCGCATTGTTCACTCACGGTGCACGAGGGCGTGACGAACTGCTCCATAGCCGTGGCCAGCGCGGGCAGCGCGAGGAAGCCGTCGAGCGCGCGGCGCGAGGGGAAGCGCGCGAAGAGCGCGTGGGAGAAGCCGACGGGGCGCTTGGCTACGATGCGGCCGAGCGAGATGGCGAGGAGGTGCGGGTAGTGGTACTGCAGCGAGTAGAGGTGGCTCAGCATGTCGCCCTCGCTCTCCTCCGCCATGTCTGGCGGCATGCTGAACAGCGCCACGTGCTCCACCACCGCGCTGGAGGAGGGGGGGCGTGACGGGGGAAGGCGCAATGAGGGGAAGGGCGCGATATGGGGGAGAGGGCGCGATTGGGGAGAGGGCGCGATTGGGGAGAGGGCGCGATTGGGGAGAGGGCGCGATTGGGGAGAGGGCGCGATTGGGAAGAAGGGCGCGATTGAGAGGGCAGAAACTCGGGGCGAAGGAGCCTCAGGTAGTTGCATTTTGAAAACGGTGACAGAACGCAATGATACAGCCGAGATCGAGGGAATGAATGGTGACAGTTCCGGAAACCAAACGCGCAGCACGAGTATTACGGGCACTCCTCACGTCATCTTCACGGGTCGCTCCGCCGAGTCCATCTCGCCGCCGCTCGCCCCCTCCGCTGCGCCTGCAGCAGCAGCCACAACCACCCCACCAGATGCGGAAATTGGCCGTCTGCTCAAGGCCCGATCTAAGTGCCTCCACCCGACCAACGCGCCGCTTAGATCCCTCCGGGTCCCGCGCGCTCTCTCGCTGCTACCCACTAGGCCAATTCCACCTGCCTTGCCGGTGCGGGGGCGTGCGGTATAAGGGGAGGAGCTAACGACGAGGCCTGCGACAGGTACTGAAGCGAGCGGCTTTGCTGCGACTGAGTGATGCAGCATCGCGGCTTGTTCCGTTGAATTCGTTGCGGCTGTTATTCAGTCGTCAACAATGGCTGTCAGATTGGAATGAGCAGATAGGAAACCCCAAAAGAACAAGCGGCGAAAGAGTGAACGCAACACCCCGCCCCTAAATCATGCTTGGAGCATCAAGGGTGGCGAGGCGGCACCAAAACACGTGCTCAGCAGGATTCGAACCTGCGCGGGCAGAGCCCACAAGATTTCTAGTCTTGCCCGATAACCACTCCGGCATGAGCACACATTTCGCATTTACACTAATGATTTGGAGAATAGAAGTACTCCTGCTGCAAAACTGCTGAAAGTATCAGAGCCAGGTTTCGATCCTGGGACCTGTGGGTTATGGGCCCACCACGCTTCCGCTGCGCCACTCTGATGTGACAGCTGTCTCAAGGAAAAACATATTAGCAAAAAAACCAGTATCCCAAAGCACGATGCTGGCGTATAAATCCCTGTTGAACAAAACTCGAGCCGTCGTCATACACAAGGCGGCAGATTTCGATTTGCCATTCCAATTTCTCACTTTCGCTACCCATTACTTTCGCCACTCCCCGCTGCCCGCATCTCGCTTGATGTCGTCGTGCCTGATCCCGATATCGTGCCTCCTCTCGTCGGCACCCTAAGTGCTCTCCTCGTTTTCCGCCTCCGCACCGCACGAATTATAAGCGATCGCGACAGGATGACTCGAGAGCTCGCTACCATCATCACAGCAGCTGCCGCTCTTCTCGGAACTGGTCTGGGCCTGCTTTTATCGCGTACATTGCTGAAGCCTAAAATAGGGAAATCGACGGTGAAGCACGTATTCCTGGCGAAATTTAAGGCGGATCAGACGCCTGAGCAAATCCAGGAGCTGATCGAGGGATACAAAGGGCTCACCAAGAAAATTCCGGCCATGAAGGGATTTGAGTGGTGAGCTGTGTCTGCCTCGCTTCACTCTCTCCCCTCCCTTCGTTTCAACCAAAGAACATTCGTCAACGTCTTTCCGTTAGCTTGGCCCTTGCTGCCCCATTGCTGATGCACAGGTGCATCCCACGAGCCTCCCTGCAAAACCCCCCAGGCACCATGTGGCCAGACTGTTATGCGGCCTCATCCCCCCCTCTGCCCCTCCCTCTCTTCCCTACAACCTCGTTCCGTGCCATGAACATCCCCCTGCTGCCCGCCCTGTGCCCCCCCCTGCGACTGCTTGTGCACGGCAGGGGCGCGGACGTGAGTGTGGAGGGCTTCACCAAGGGGTACACGCACGTGTTCATCACTACCTTTGACGATGCGGCGGGGCGCGATGCGTATGTGGAGCACCCGGAGCACAAGGCGTATGCGGGGGTGTTGTTCCAGGGGCTGGAGGACGGCATTGTGCTCGACTATGTGCCCTCCGTTGTCCTCTCCCGCTTCTACTCCTGACCGCCCAGCTCTCTGCCTCTCACCTCCTAGCTGATGCCAAGAGAGCTGAGATATTCTTGTGTTGCATTTACCTTTCACTGGAATGTGGTACCTACATCAGCCCTCAAAATTCACGATAACCACGCTTCCTCTGCGCCACTCTGATGTGACAGCTGGCTCAGGCTATTTCTTTAAAGCCCAAGACCTGAATTACTCAACGGAAGTCAACGCCAAAAAACTAGGTTCGGAAGGCAGCCAGAGGGAGGTTCGGTTGGGTTGCGAAACCCTTTCACTCGCGAAACCAGTTTGCGACAAAGTTGTGTCGCTTCAAAGAAGACTTGTGATGGATGGTGTGCCTCCCACAACAACCAGAGTTAGAGTGTGCCTACCAAACTGTGCACACTTCGACAATCCTAGCATGCAGACTAAAACTAGGCATAATATAGAAAACGTGTAGGCAGGGCATGGCCGTTGACTCTAGAGGGATCAAGGCGCGATGCGATGGTGTAGGATGCGGAATGGGAGTTCGAAGCGTAAGGATATTGTGCGGCGTGCGATGAGATATGGTGTAGAATGCAGGGTTCGCATAACCCACACGTTCGGCCAAGCGTAACCATCCCCTCGCCCTCGCTTTCCTTTCCCCAGGTCCGACGCTTCCTCTGTCCGTCACCCTCGTCGTCGCCTTCGCTTCCGCAGCCCGTCGCATTCGCTTCCCCCGCCCGTCGCCACCTTCGCTTTCGGATGACCGTTGCCTTTTCTTATCCCGCCCGTCGCCTTCGCTTCTTCCCCCCCGTCGCCTTCGATTTCCCCGCGCGTCGCCTTCGCTTCCCCCGCGCGTTGCCTTCGCTTCCCCCGCGCGTCGCCTCACTTCCACCGTGCGTCGCCTCGCTTTCCCCGCGCGTCGCCTTCGCTTACGCGCCCGTCGCCTTCGCTCACCTCCTTCCGTCGCCTTCGTTCCCCTACTGCTCACGCCCTTACTCCCATGCTCACGCCCTTACTCCCATGCTCACGCCCTTACTCCCATGCTCACGCCCTTACTCCCATGCTCACGCCCTTACTCCCATGCTCACTCCCCTACTCCCATGCTCACGCCCTTACTCCCATGCTCACTCCCCTACTCCCATGCTCACGCCCTTACTCCCATGCTCACGCCCTTACTCCCATGCTCACGCCCTTACTCCCATGCTCACGCCCTTACTCCCATGCTCACTCCCCTACTCCCATGCTCACGCCCTTACTCCCATGCTCACTCCCCTACTGCCATGCTCACGCCCTTACTCCCATGCTCACTCCCCTACTCCCATGCTCACGCCCTTACTCCCATGCTCACTCCCCTACTCCCATGCTCACGCCCTTACTCCCATGCTCACGCCCTTACTCCCATGCTCACGCCCTTACTCCCATGCTCACTCCCCTACTCCCATGCTCACGCCCTTACTCCCATGCTCACGCCCTTACTCCCATGCTCACGCCCTTACTCCCATGCTCACGCCCTTACTCCCATGCTCACGCCCTTACTCCCATGCTCACTCTCTCCCCCTCTGCTCACTCTCTCCCCCTCTGCTCACTCTCTCTCCCCCTGCTCACTCTCTTTCCCCCTGGACTCACTTATCTTTCCCCCCTGTTTACTCTCTATTCCCCTTCGTTCAACCCTTTCTCCCCACAATCCCTCTCACCACCCCTGTTCACACCCCTTGTTCCCCTCTGCTCACTGGCTTTCCCCTTTGCTCACCCCCTTCTCCTGCCTGCTGACTATATTTCCCCCTTTGCTCACCCCCTTCTCCTGCCTGCTGACTATATTTCCCCCTTTGCTCACCCCCTTCTCCTCTCTGCCCACTCTATTTCCCCCTTCGCTCACCCCTCTGCCCTGTTCACACCTCCCATACATGCCCTTCTGTACCTCCAACCTCCAGCCCTCGCTTATTCGCCATATCCCCTCTTCCCTCCCCATTCCATCGCAGAACCATGCTTGTACATGTGCCCAGCACCATGGGTCCCAACAGGAGTGGGTTGAAAAGTTATCACCTCTTAGATTTGTGCTTGTGCCTATAGTCCACCCTTGGCAACCTTTATGGAAACGTAATTTGCTTTGTTGCACTTGCGGTGGTCATGTGCATTTATGCTCCGAATCACATAGTGGTGTATTATGAGAAGCATCCAACATCAGTATATGACGTAGCTAACAGCAAACACAACACAACAGGATGTATAGCAGACCTGCACAAACACGAACCACGAACTCTGATGTGTCAAAGTTGGAAGCAGCGGGGTTGGATATGAAACGACGACAATGGAAAGGCAAGAAGGCAGGGAACCATCCATGCACGGAGAACATGAGCTAGGGAGACACGGAGGAAGGGAAGAAAGGGGGGTGATATGAAGCGTGGGTGGAAAGGGGGGAGAGAGCGGGGAAAGGAACTGAGGCAGAGGATTGGGGGGAGAGAAATAGATGAAGAAAGGAAGGGGAAGTAGGAGGGGACGATATTGGGTGGGAGGAAGGGAGGATGAAAGGGAGGAAGGGAGGATGCCGGGCGGATGAGAGAAAGGGCGGATGAGAGGACATGGGGATGAGAGGACATGGGGATGAGAGGACATGGGGATGAGAGGACATGGGGATGAGAGGACATGGGGATGAGAGGACATGGGGATGAGAGGACATGGGGATGAGAGGACATGGGGATGAGAGGACATGGGGATGAGAGGACATGGGGATGAGAGGACATGGGGATGAGAGGACATGGGGATGAGAGGACATGGGGATGAGAGGACATGGGGATGAGAGGACATGGGGATGAGAGGACATGGGGATGAGAGGACATGGGGATGAGAGGACATGGGGATGAGAGGAAGGGTGGATGGGAGAAAGCGAAGGGGGAAAGAGGGAGAAAGAGAGGGACGAAGGAGGGAGGAAAGAGTGTGACCGGGTACAATGGGGATGGTAAAAGGGTGAAACTGACACGCAGGGTTGGAGTGAGGAAGAGAGTAGGAGAGCGGGAGATGGAAAGAGGAAGGGGTCTGGATCGAGGGGGGATGAAAGAAATGTGAGAATGGTAGGAAGGGAGAACGGAAGGAAGGGAGGGAGGGAGGACGGGCGACAGAGAGGGGAAAGAGGGTAGTGAGGCAGAGAGTGTGGGAGAGATGGAGGAAGGGAGGAAGAGAGAGGGAGAGGACGACGACTGGGGGAACGAAGGAACGGAGTAAGGGAGGAGGGTAAGAGGTAAAAGTGCAGCAAGGTATAAGGGTGGAACGGGGGATAGGAGGATCCCTGCACCCTCTCTCTCTACCCCCCGCCTCCCCCGCTCCCATGCCCCGCCTCCCCCGCTCCCATGCCCCGCCTCCCCCGCAACCCTGCCCCGCCTCCCCCGCTCCCCTGCCCCGCCTCCCCCGCTCCCTTGCCCCGCCTCCCCCGCTCCCCTGCCCCGCCTCCCCCACTCCCCTGCCCAGCCTCCCCCGCTCCCCTGCCCAGCCTCCCCCGCTCCCTTGCCCCTCCTCCCCCCGCTCCCCTGCCCCGCCCCCTGCAGCATTGCGCTCCTTGCTGCCCGCCTGCACGCGCTGCCCCAGCTGTGCGCCCAGCACTCTGCTCCAAAGCCGCAGCAGCACCTTGTTAAATGTTGGTAGGCTGTAGTGGGGTAGTCAATATGGGGTACAACCCCAACTAGGGTTTGCTACTTGTACCAACTGTTTCATTCAATGCACATCATTCCTGCCTGTAGATTCTAACATGGTTTCAGAGCACTAAGGTCCGTAGGACCGTTTTTTTTTTTTCGGGCCCACCTACCGCTGCGGTTACCGCGCTACCCCACGTAGCCTTGCCTTGCCTTGTATGCCTTGCCTTGCCTTGCCTTGCCTGCGCGCTGCCCCTAGAGGCCCGTAAGGCCCGCGCGCCGCCTCTACACGCCTCTACACGCCTCTACACGCCCGCACACACGCTGCTACCGCGCGCTGCCCGCACCGAGTCGCGCGCAGCCCGCTGCAGCCGCGCGCAGCCCGCACCGAGCCGCGCGCAGCCCGCTGCAGCCGCGCGCAGCCTGCACCGAGCCGCGCACAGCCCGCTGCAACCGCGCGCAGCCCGCACCGAGCCGCGCGCAGCTCGCAGCTGCCGCGCGCAGCCCGCGCCGAGCCCGCGCAGCCCGCGTCGAGCCGCGCGCGGCCTGCTACGGCCTCGCGAGGCCCGCGCGCGGCCCGCAGCAGCCCGCGCCGAGCCGCGCGAGGCCTGCTCCTGCCTCGCACGGCCCGCGCGCGGCCCGCAACAGCCCGCGCCGAGCCGCGCGCGGCTCGCTTCTCCCTAGCACGGCCGCGCGCGGCCCTTTGCCTCGGCCCCGACCTGCCGCTGATGCGGCCCCGCCCAGCAGCTGCCATGGCCCCGACCTGCCGCTGATGCGGCCCCGCCCTGCAGCTGCCACGGCCCCGACCTGCCGCTGACGCGGCCCCACCCTGCTACGGCCCCGCCCTACAGCTGTTTCGGCCCTGCTCTGCAGCCGGTTTTGCGGCCCCGACGTCGCCGCTGTCGTACGCCCACTCGGGCGCCGGCCCTGCTCTCCCAGCCTTTGGTGAGCACCTGCCTGCCTGCCTGCCGGCCTGCCTGCTTGCCTGCCTGCCTGCCTGCGTGTCTACTTGCCTGCCTGCCTGCCTGCCTACCTGCCTGCCTGTCTGCCTGCCTGCCTGCCGGCCTGGCTGCCTGCCTGCCTGCCTGCCTGCCTGCCTGCCTGACGGCCTGCCTGCCTGCCTGCCTGCCTGCCTGCCTGCCTGCCTGCCTGCCTGCCTGCCTGCCTGCCTGCCTGCCTGCCTGCCTGGCTGCCTGCCTGCCTGCCTGCCGGCCTGCCTGCCTGCCTGCCTGCCTGCTTGCTTGCCTGCCTGCCGCGCCTGCCTTGCCTGCGCTACTGCTACTGGCAGGAGGCCAGATGCAGCTCCAGCGACATTCACGCGAGCCTCTGACGCCCCAGCAGCTTAGTGAGTGGTATACTAGCTGGGGTTGTCGCGGTAGCCGTCGTAGCTGTCGCCCTGGAGCTGGTCAGTTGGGAGCGTCTGGCAGTGGCCAGCTGCAGCTGCAGGGACGTCCACGTGAGCCACTTACGCCCCGGCAGCTCCAGGAGTGGTACGCTCAGTGTAGCAGGTCTACGCGTACAGTCCGCTGCCCGTACGTCATTCGCACAGGTGATAGGACTGGTCAGCCTTGTGGGACGCTTGGTCACACACAGTCCCGCTGCTTCGCCCGTCTGAGCGACGACTGGCGCACAGTGTTTGGCGACGAGGCTGAGCTCCCCACCTGGCTGGAGCTGCATAGACAGAGGGTCGATATCTTTGCGCTTGACTATGATGCTATTCTCACTGCCATGTATGCATTGTCTACTAGTGCTGACCGTGCCTGTTGCCCGTGCGTACCGCCTGACCCTGGTATAGAGCCTGCTGCTCTCGGTGCTGGTGACGATGCTGCCCTAGGTGCTAGTACGTCTTCTGCTCTAGGTGCTGGTGAGGCCGTGGCTTCAGGTGCTGGTGAGTCTGCTCTCTCTGGTACTGCGCCCTCTGCGGTCTCGCACACCTTCACCCTTGACTCAGGAGCTTCCCGCTCCTTCTTTCGCGACTGCACCACACTCACGCCGCTCCGTCGGCCAGTTCAAGTCTCCCTGGCGGACCCCTCCGGGGGCCCAGTTCTGCCGTGTCCGGCCGTCCCGTCTGGCTTCCTGTCAGGTCTTTACCTCCCCTCGTTCTCTACGAACTTGGTGGCGGGAGCTGACCTCCAGGATGGAGGGGTTCACCAGTTCACTCCTGCGGGTCAGCGAGTGACCCGCTGTACGTGTGCTCGGACGGGCCAACACCTGGCCACGTTTACCCGTGCGCCTGGCTCGAGTCTGTACACACTCACCACTGAGTCCCCTCAGGTAGCTGCGTCTGCGTCTGTGTCTGGTCAGCTGGCGGCCCCCTGCGAGTGTCGCGCTTTGTCGCACGACACTCTCCTGTGGCACCACCGCCTTGGTCACCCCTCCTTGCCTCGCCTGCGTACCATGCACTCTCGCTCCCTGGTCTCTGGTCTTCCCAGGTCTCTGCCTGCCCTCCCTCCCTCGCCTGCGCCGCCCTGCATTCCTTGCGTCGAGGGGCGGCAGCGCGCCGCTCCTCACTCCTCCTCGTTTCCTCCCACAGAGGCTCCTCTGCAGACGCTCCACCTGGACGTGTGGGGCCCGGCCCGCGTCCAGGGACAGGGCCGCGAGCGGTACTTCCTGCTGGTCGTCGACGACTACACGCGTTACACCACGGTCTTCCCCTTGCAGAGCAAGGGGGACGTCCCTGCTGTTCTGATCCCCTGGATCCGCGCTGTTCGTCTCCAGCTCCGCGAGCGGTTCCGGTCGGACTTTCCTGTCCTGCGTCTGCACTCTGACAGAGGTGGTGAGTTCTCCTCCGACCTCTTGGCAGCCTACTGTGCGGAGCACGGCATCACCCAGTCGTTCACGCTTCCGGCCTCTCCGCAGCAGAATGGGGTTGCTGAGCGCCGCATTGGCTTAGTCATGGAGGTCGCCCGTACCTCCATGATCCATGCGGCTGCCCCCCATTTTCTGTGGCCGTTTGCGGTCCGGTACGCCGCGCATCAGCTCAACCTCTGGCCCCGTGTCTCCTTGCCGGAGACCTCGCCCACACTGCTGTGGACGGGGAAGGTTGGCGATGCGTCTCGTTTCCGGGTCTGGGGTGCTCGTGCCTTTGTCCGCGATACCACCGCGGACAAGCTCTCCGCCCGCGCTGTTCCCTGTGTCTTCCTTGGCTTTGTCCCTGACGCGCCTGGTTGGCAGTTTTACCACCCCACCTCGCGCCGTGTCTTTGCGTCTCAGGACGTCACGTTCGACGAGTCGGTTCCCTTTTACCGTCTCTTCCCCTACCGCACTGCCTCGCTCCCCCCCCCGCCGCTCTTCCTCGCTCCAGGTGCTCCCCAGGTAGACCCCCTCCCCGCTCCCGGTCCTGCTCCTTCAGGTGTTTCTCAGGTAGACCCTCCTCCCTTTACTGCGCCGGTTGAGGTCACTGGTGACTCAGGTCCTACTGCGAGTGGTCCTGCTCACGGTGCTGAGCCTGGGGGTGCGGAGCCTGGGGGTGCTGAGCCTGGGGGTACTGAGCCTGCGGGTGCGGAGCTTGAGGGTGTAGAGCCTGGTGGTGCTGAGCCTGAGTGTGAGGGGTCTGGGGGTGCTGAGCTTGGCGGTACTGACGCTGGAGGTTCGGGAGCTACTGTGGGTGCTGGCGCTGGAGGTTCAGGAGCTGCTGGAGGGCCTAGTCCTGGTGGCGCTGGAGCTGGAGGTTCTGGAGCTGTTGACGGTGCTCGCGCTGGAGGTTCTGGAGCCCCTGGGGGTGCTGGTGCTGAGGGTACTGCCACCGGAGGTTCTGGAGCCGTTGGGGGTGCGGGCGCTGAGGGTTCTGAGTCTGCTGTTGCGCGGTCTCCTTGGAGTGGCCGCCTTCGTCCCCGTGTGCCTCTCACCCCACAGCAGCTGCAGGACTGGTACGGTCGCCGTCAGCGTCGCGCTGCTGGAGCTCGGAGTCGTGCTGGAGACACTGAGGCTGGAGACCCTGGGACTGGAGGTGCTGGCTCTGGGGGTGCTGCTGCTGGAGACACTGAGGTTGGAGACCCTGGAGCTGGAGGTGCTGGTTCTGGGGGTGCTGCTACTGGAGACACTGAGGTTGGAGACCCTAGGACTGGAGGTGCTGGTTCTGGGGGTGCTGCTGCTGGAGACGCAGGGGTTGGAGACCCTGGGACTCGAGGTGTCGGCTCTGGGCCTGGAGCTTCTGGAGCTGCTGGAGGCACTGGAGCTGCTGGAGCTGCTGGTACTGGTGCAGCTGCGCCGACACGACTGTTCTTCGCTCCGCCGTCTCCGTCGTCTCTACCGCCGTCTGCCTCTGTTCTTCGTCAGGTTCTTACTCTTCCGTCGTCTACTGGTCTTCCGTTACAGTCTGGCTCGCCGCTGCCTGCTCCTTCTCCTTACACGGAGCTGACTGGTAGTCCTGCTGAGCGTCGTGAGCCTGCATCGCGTCCTGTCTCGCCTGCTCGTCCTGGTCGTCGTGTTCCTCGTTCGCGTCCACCGGCTGTCCCCAGTGCACACCTCGTAGTCCGTCGTCCTTCCTCTGTTCCGCAGCCTGTTCCTCTGCCGTCTCCTCCTGCGTCCTCTTTGCCTGACGTTCCGGACCCGGCGTCTGACCGGTTTCGTGCTGAGCACCCTACTGTCACGCGTCTCCTCGCCACTGTTGTCACTGACCCGTCGTTTGAGTCTGCTGCTGCGTCTGCTCTTGTCGCTGAGCTTGTTGACTTTGCTGCTGCCTGTCGTCTAGACTTCACTGCCAGTCTTGTTACTGAGTCTGAGTCTGTCTGTCCTCCGTCCGTCGGGGGTGAGTGTGCTCTTGGCACGGACGTCCTTGAGGACAGGCAGGAGGACTTTAACTCTCTTGCGGCTGCTGTACCTCATCTCGTGGCCTGGTTGCTTGCCCCTGAGGGAGACCCGGATGCACTAGACATCCCCACTCCGCGCACTTACGCAGAGGCGATCTCGGGTCCCTACTCCTCTCAGTGGCAGACAGCCATGGACGCAGAGATGGCATCCTGGAAGTCCACAGGCACCTACGTCGACGAGGTTCCCCCTCCTGGGGCGAACATCGTCGATGGCATGTGGATTTTCAGGGTGAAGCGGCCGCCAGGTTCTCCGCCTGTCTTCAAGGCTCGTTACGTTGCTAGAGGCTTCAGTCAGCGTCAGGGGGTTGACTTCTTCCAGACCTTCTCCCCCACCCCGAAGATGACCACTCTTCGGGTTCTACTGCACGTTGCTGCTCAGCGTGACTACGAGCTTCACTCTCTTGACTTCAGCACAGCGTTCTTGCAGGGCAGCCTGCACGAGGAGATCTGGCTGCGCCGCCCACCTGGCTTTACTGGGTCGTTTCCTCCTGGTACCCAGTGGAGCCTCCGCCGGCCAGTCTACGGTCTCCGCCAGGCGCCACGTGAGTGGCACGACACACTGAGGACTACACTTGCGGCTCTTGGGTTCGCGCCGTCTACTGCTGACCCGTCGCTGTTCCTGCGCACAGACACGTCGCTGCCGCCGTTCTACATTCTCGTGTACGTCGACGACTTGGTTTTTGCTACTGCTGACACTGAGGCACTCGCTCGTGTGAAGTCGGAGCTGCAGAAGAGACACACCTGCACTGACCTGGGTGAGCTGCGTAGCTACCTTGGCTTGCAGATCACCCGGGACAGAGCACGCCGCACCATTACCCTGACTCAGTCACACATGGTGCAGCAGGTCCTTCAGCGCTTCGGCTTCCAGTTCTCCTCACCACAGGCCACACCTCTGGCTACCAGCCACTCGCTCTCAGCTCCACCTTCGGACGAGTCCGTAGAGCCGAGTGGCCCGTACCCAGAGCTTGTAGGCTGCCTCATGTACCTGATGACTTGCACGCGACCTGACCTCGCGTACCCTCTTAGCATCCTTGCTCGTTACGTTGCGCCTGGGAGACACAGGCGAGAGCACTGGGAGGCTGCTAAGAGGGTGCTGCGTTACTTGTGCAGTACGTCAGGCATGGGGCTGGTGCTTGGAGGACGCGACAGAGTTGTCCTCACTGGTCACTCGGACGCTTCTTGGGTGGACGACCTGGCTACGCAGCGGTCGTCACAGGGTTACACCTTCAGCCTTGGCTCTGGTTCTGTCTCGTGGCGGTCCACCCGCTCTTCTTCTGTTCTCGGCTCTAGTTGTGAGGCTGAGATCTACGCCACGGCCATGGCTGCACAGGAGTTACGCTGGCTCACCTACCTGCTGACTGACTTGGGAGAGCGGCCTAGTTCTCCTCCAGTTCTGTACGGTGACAACAAGGCGGCCCTTGCCTTGTGTCAGGAGCACAGACTGGAGCACAGGACGAAGCACATTGCTCTTCGCTACTTTCTTGCTCGAGAGCTTCAGCAGCGCGGTCAGCTTCGGCTTGTGTACGTGGACTCGAAGGCCAACACTGCTGATATCTTCACCAAGGCGCTCCCGCCTAGTGATCATCAGCGACACTGTACTTCTTTAGGCCTTGTGTCCACATTCCCTCATTTGCTTACTGCTTGACTTTCTTTGTACTGTACTTTATATATATCTTGTTGCTTGCTTGCTAGGTTTTGATCACTGTGTTGCTTGTCTTGTACTATATCTAGCACTGCATGTGAACTGGCCTTGTGGCCTTTGCTTGTGCTCGGAGTGTGGTGACGTTGTGATCCACCCTGGGCTTGCGTTGCTTTGCTGGACTGGTCTTGTGACCCTTTGTTCTCCCCCACTTTGCCTATGGGGGTGTGTTAAATGTTGGTAGGCTGTAGTGGGGTAGTCAATATGGGGTACAACCCCAACTAGGGTTTGCTACTTGTACCAACTGTTTCATTCAATGCACATCATTCCTGCCTGTAGATTCTAACACACCTGCCATGCGTGCGGAGAAGAGGGGGAACGTGATAGGCAGGGGAGTGATGGCGACGTGGAGAGAGGCGCGAGGGAAGGGAGGTCGGCGGAAAGGGAAATTTCCAGGCGACAGGGAGGGCGATGGGAGGGGAAGCGCGGGCGACGGTGGGGGAAAGCGTGGGCGACGGTGGGGGGAAGTGTGGGCGGCGGTGGGAGAAATCGTGGGCGGCGGTGGGAGAAATCGTGGGCGACGGTGGGAGAGATCGTGGGCGATGAGCGGCGATGCGTGAAGGTGGGGGAAGGCGCTCGCGACGGTAGGGGGAAGCTTGGGTGAAGGCAGGAGGAAGCGTGAGCGGCGGTAAGGGGAAGCGTGAGCGACGGTGGGGGAAAGCGTGAGCGACGATGAGGGAAAGCGTGGGCGTGTGCGTGGGGGGTATGCAAGAGACGGTTGGGGGAAGCGCGGGGGACGCGGAAGACGATAGGGCCAAATGCGATATTTGCGGAAGGGCGATGCCAGTGCGACCGAGTGCGGAAACGTGATATGGCCTCGCGTTGCTGTCATGCCGATAAGCTACGACCAGAAAAGTAGTCGAGGTCTCAATATCGGCCGTAGGATAGATTCGTCTGGAGTTCTAAGCCGTATGATGGCTAAGAATAAAGGCGGAAGTGCTCATGGGCTATGCTTTAGTGGCTTCTTTTTCTCTCTTCGCATGAGGAACTCGCATACTATGGACAAAAGCACGACCTGAATTACCATTTTTGCAAACTGGGCACATTTTGAGCCCTTGTTCTTGCGGGGGGGTGTGGTTGGGGCTCTCGCCAACCAAACCTCTTCTGCTCCAAGACTCAGTGTTTTTTGGCGGGATGTTTTCTGGTAACCAGCTTGGCTCGGGAGGTCAACTCTGGGTTCGGTAGGCAAACTGTGCACAGTTTGCCTACTCCTTTTTGTAATTCAGGTCTTGGGCTTTAATTTTATGCTATAAAAAATCATACTGGAAAAGACTAGGGGGTATCCGAGAATAAAAGTTCCGGAAGCACGATGCTGGCGTGTCAGCCCTCAACATTCACGTAAACCAAAAGCAATGCTGTCGTGGGGTAGAATGCATTGAATGGAGCCACATGAATTGCAAGAAAAGCGCCCACCTCCCTCATGGAGTCATCTCTTTCGATTTCATTTGTTCCACATCGATCCTCCCCCAGCTCAGCCATGGGTCGCGGATCTTCCGTCTCGCTGCGCTTTCCTTCGCACCTCGCCATCTATGTGCTGCTCGCTATCTCCCTCTCCGCGTTCTGCGCCGCACAGCTTAACGATGGCGCTGCCGCATTTCCCGCTGAGCCGCGTCGGCTCGGCGATCCCAAGCTTCCGTTGGCCCTCGCGGCGGTCGAGGCGCTTCTCCGCCAGGCGCAGTTCGACGTCGCTGTAGGCGAGTACGATCGCGCCGCCCGCCGCCTTTTTTCGCCCGTCGCCGAAGTGTCCATCCCGGGCCGCCCACTGCAGCGCCTCGAAACCATCGAAGAAAAGGCGGCGTTTCTTGAGTCACTCGCGCCTGTTCCGCCCCCCTCTCCCCCACCCTCCGCAAACGGTACTCTTTTGAGCGGTTTGTCCCCAGTAGTGGCCGCTTCGTTAATCGAGCGCGCGGAGCTGTACGTGCCCAAGTACGATCGCTATCTGGGCTACTCGCTGCTCATCTACGGCCGCCTCCTTCAGGACGCGGAGTCCGCCGAGCCGCGCACCGGCAAGTTTGTCCTCTTGTGGGATCTCATCGCGGACAACGCCAGGGTCGCGGGGGATGCTGACGTGGCAACTTCGCGGCAGCAAGAGAGCAACTCCGTCTATGCGTGGGGGCTGAGCTGGGCGTACTGGAACGACGACGCGCACAGGCATGGCCCGCCCCCCTCCCCCCCGCCTCGCCCGCCGCACCCTCACCCTCCGCACCCGCCCCACCCGCATCCTCCCGCCCCCGCCCCTGCTCCTTCTGCATTGTCCGCCGTTGATGTTACCGTCCGTGACGCCCGCGCTGCCCGTGGTTCTGATGATGGCAGGCAACCAAGCCACCAGATCTCGCTCGCCAAGCCTCTGCCTTCCCTGTCCGAGCCTCTCGCCGATCCACACCCGGCCGACCTGAAGCTGCAGATTCAGGAGGCTTGGACGAATTTCAGCCTCAACCTGGCGACTGCTGACGTGGCGGCCGCAGCCAGCATCTTCGCTGACAACGTGACGCTGCTGCCACCTGGGCATCCGAAGCTCACCCTGCCAGGGCCTCTGGACAAGCAGGATTACCTGCAGCGACTGGTGGACTGCCACGTGGCACTAGATGTGACCGTCGATTCTCTCCTGCTGGTGAAGCTGAAGTCCTCGTTGACGCCTGTCGTCCCTCCGCCTTCCCCAGCTCTTGAAGCTCTGCCTTCCCAGGATGCGTCGTCCGCCATGCTCCGTGGCTACAGTGCCGCGGATCTTCTGGCTAATAGCGAGGAGCTCATTAGCGGGGCGTCGAATGGCGATGCGTTGACTGTGATCACGCGCTCCTCCTTCATCCTCACCAACACCTCCACCGGTATGTTGCTAGCGTTCCTCACATGCATCCGTGGCTGGATCCCTGTGGCTGATCATCCAAGGTGTTTTTCTTCCAGCTTCATGGTTACCTCATCTGTGAACCTCACCACTCCCCTGTCCCTCATCCCTCTCTCCATTCATTTGCCCAGATAACCGTTTTTCCGCACACTCCTTTCTTAACCGTTGATCTCCCACCCCCCTGCCATTCTCCACTCCCTGCCTTTCCCCTCTTCCTGCGTTTTCCCCCTCCCTGCCCTTCCCCATCCCTCCTTCCCCCTCCCTGCCATTGCCACATCCCTGTGATGCCCCTGCCCCTGCAGGCAAGCACATGAAGGCGGGCTCACTGCTGCAGAAGTGGGCACGTGTCAACCTGCCCGACTCCACCCTCGCAGCGGCAGGCGCGCCCCTTGCTGCCTCTCGCCACCGCTGGTACTTTGAGTGGGCCATCTGGAACTATCACAATATCCCAGCTGCTCATGTTGCTGCCATTTAGGGTATTAGGGTTGGTCGTTACATGATGGTTCCTATGAGTGCTGAATCTGGTGCATTGACAATGATCCTTTTCCGAAGTGTGATAATGAGATGTAATTCTGGATGTGTAAACAAAGTGAAGCAAAGGTAGTGGTAGATGGATATGTTGCATTTGGGTTGTTTCCAGGTGGCAATGCTTCGTGGTCAGTCTTTTTTTATTTGTTGGAGAGCATCGAAACATTCTTTAACGCAGACATGAAAGGTCGCGCTGGTGCATGAACATCTTTCTCATCGCCTCGCTGCTGGCTGGGATTTTGGCGCCATTGTTGAGTCGAGAAGTGGTGGCTTGATCAGAGAAAGCATAGAATCAGCGCGTCTCGTCTTGCGCGCTGCCCTCATCATCGCTGGTGTCTCTTGATTTCTGTCCCTGTACCCCAGGTCGATCGAGCGTCTATAATCTGGCGGTTTAGTTCGCGGTTAGCAGTAGTGTAAATCTGGATGATCACGCTATCAGCGTCTCGCGGCTGAATTCGCTCGATCCGACATAAACAGCACCGCAACTGACACGTTTAAGAGCCCTTCAAAGACGGCCGCGACTCGTTAGTTGGTTGGTGCAGAGCAACAGCTGTGCGTCGGTTCAGGAGTACGTATCGCGTGTCACAGACCATCGCTGTGTGAACATGCCGCCACCTGCTCCCGCGCAGGTACGACACCCCGCTTTCCGCTCATCCGCCTTCTCTCCCCTCCGCCGCTTCTTCTGGGTTAGCTGCTTGTCGGATGCACGCAACGTTTTTCCACTCGCTGTTCCAGTACCCTTCGTTCCACCGTGCTTCTCGTGTTGTGTGGAAGACGTCTCAACCCTCGCGCGTCTCGCACCGCACCTTGTGCGCTCGCCGCGTCCCTGTGCCCCCCCAGGTGCGGTCGCTCTACAGGACTCTCCTGCGCGAGGCGCACCGCTTCCGCAACTACAACGTGCGCCACTACGCGTCGCGCAGGATTCGCGAAGGCTTCGCGGAGAATAAAGACACCGCGGAGCCGGAGAAGGCGGAGGCGGCGTACGAGGAGGGCGTGCGCGCGGCGGCGATGGTGCGGCGGCAGGTGGTGGTGTATAACATGTACGCCGCGCCGCAACGGTCAATCATGGAACTCGACAATCCCTAGGGTCTCCCCTCCACTGACCAGAATAGAGTCACCATACCGCTGCTAGCACAGCGTTGGCGAATGTACACTTGTTGAATAAATAGAACCCTATACAAGCTTGCTTCAGAAGACGAGGACCAAGTGTGTCAGTACATTATTATTGCCATTCTTGGGCATTGTCCTCTGCCAGCCCAGGAGCCATCTTGGTCACCTCTTCGGCTGCCTTAGCCACCAACCCATCCACGATATCAGTCCACTTGCCAGCCACCACCCCTGCTGCCTTCTCCACCTCCGCTCTCACCCTCTCTACCTCCGCCTTCACTCTCTCCATCGCCTCCTCTGCTCCACTCCCCCCAAACCCCCCCTTCTCCCCATCCTCCGTCCCCACTCCGTCCTTCTCCCCTCCATCCGCCTGTCTCTCTCTTACCTCCCCGTCCTTCCCCACCAGCTCCTCCTCCGTCGCTTCTGGTTCATCATCATGCAAGTGCGGCAGGCTGGAGGGGTCAGCAGCGTGGGCCACGTGAAGGGACACGGCCCGTGCAAGCGCCTCCAGGTGCTCCCCGCGCCGCTCCTTGAGCGTGGCACTGCGCTGCATGCGCTGCTGCTCCGGTGGTGTCTGCTGCTCCTGCTGCTCCGCTTCCATTGCCTGAGGCGGTTCACACAGGGGCATGGGGGTTGGGGAAAGAGGGCGGGGAGTGTACGGCGAGAGGAGAGCGCAGAACCGCGAATGGGGACAGCTGGCAGTGAAACCAGAGGTCACAGAGACATCAGATGAGGGCAGAGCAGCGGGCGATGTGAGGAAGGGTGGGACTGACAGCGAGGGCGAGGGCGCATTTGGCCTCAATGTGGCCGATGATGTGATCGTAGACTATGGAGGGCGACACCACCACTCGCTCAAACCGGTGATCCACCGGCACCGCCGTCTTCACCACTGGGTGTGGGTAGTGCTGCATGCTGTGACAGACACGTGGATATTTGAAAGAGCAATCACACATTCACACCAAGAAGAATTGATATCTTCACCCCATGGCGGTGCCCTTGCGCACATGTTACAGAGCAACCAAACGTTGACACAACCATATGTACTTTCAAATGCTGACCTCATATGTGCGGCACAGGCACAGTGCATATGGGCAGAGCAGGTCACCTCATGTGGGGGCGGTAGAACACGTGGAAGAGCCTGCCAGGCGCGTAGAGGCGGCGCGGGTCTTTTAGCTTGTCGGCCGTGGAGATGAGTGCGTCCTGCTGGTACTTGTACAGCAGCATGCATGGTAGACTGGCACATAAGGGCATGGGAATGGGGTCGAGGGGAGTAGGGCACAGGTATGTGACATGCTGGTGTGAGGAAGTGAGGGACCGAGGTGAGTGAGGGAGGGAGTGTGGAGAGGAAACAAACCATGGCAGAAAATTGTAGGACGACAGGAGTGAAAACAGCAGCATGTATAGGAGAGAGCAGCAGCGAGTGAGTTACCAGAAGCCAGCAGCAAGAGCAGATCGAACAGGTGCTGATGTGCGCACCAGAAAGTCATCCTGTGGGTGGCAATGGGATGGGACGCGATGGAGCACGGGGGAGCAAGAGCACAGAGGGATGCGATGTGAGGGTGAAGGAGGGGGCACGGGGGGATGAAGATAGCCGAGCACGCAGGGTGTGGGAAGGGTATGGAGGGGTATCACTACCACACAGCTAAGGCTGCTGGCTTTGCTGCAAGCACCTGCCACGCCCACACCTGCAGCACGACGGAGTTGATGACGTCAGCGTATTTAATGGCGAGGTTGAGCGACATGGAGCGAGCGGGCGCCATGCAGAAGCAGCGCAGGCGCCGCACACTGAACCCCACGCGCTCCCTGCTCGCGTGCAGAATGACCGTCGCCATCGCCACCACCCCGCTGCCCAGTGAGTGGCCCGTGAGCGTGAGCGAGTAGGCGGGGTGGGTGCGCGCGAGCATTGTCAGCACGGGCATCTCCTGGTCCAGCAGCCATGCGGCTGCCTTGAGCATGCCCGTGTGCACGAACCCGCCGTCCAACCGCTGCCAGGAGACGAGGGGGATGGGGAAGGGGAAGGGGAAGGGGAAGGGGAAGGGGAAGGGGAAGGGGAAGGGGAAGGGGAATGTTTGAGTCGTCCCTTCTTCGTACTGCACCGCATTGCACCCCTCACCTCCGAGCCCTTCTTCTGGTCGAGCAGAATCTCGTAGTCCGCGATCTGCGAGCTCTTCAATCCGCGCACCGCCAGGCAGATGTCACGCGCCGCGTGGTCCACGTAGATCATGTACGGCGGGCACCGCCCCTTAGTATCCTCGTAGTTCGCGCGCCGCACCACGAAGTCCTCGTTTATGAGCCCCCTAAAGTACGGCTCCGCGCGCCGCATTTTGTAGACGGCGCTGAGGAGGTGGCAGAGGCGAGGCACGTCGTGGAACTCGGAACACGTGGCGAGCGGCCATTGGGCGCTTGTTGCTTCGCTGGAGCGCGTGCAACGGCGGTAGGTCCAGAGGATGCAGCAGCAGGGACAGCAGAAGATAAGTGGTAATTGCGGGAACATCGACATGGTATTTACCAAATGAAGGCACTTCCTGAAGTTTTACTCCGAATAACTACAACAAGTATTTCACGGATAGGAAATTACAATGCTTCAGACTCTAGAACCTGAGAGGCAATGCAGGCGCGAGAGCTAACAGCTGACACCGCGATAATGATTATCGTCCTGTGACTGTCGTGGGGGGGTAATGAGTAGTTGTGCTGCGATACTAAAATAGGAGCGCTTCCCGTTTTGGAGGCAGTGGGGGGGGCACAACACGGCCGTGCAAAGAGGGGCACGCGACAATTCCCATCATGTTCGTCTTGTGCGCGGGAAGAAACCCGATTGGTGGATGAATAGAAACCTGGCGAAGATATCCTGACGCGAGGAGGTGTCGGTGTTACATACCAGCGCCCTTTCGAAAAACATAAGGGGTGTTCCGAGAATTGAACTCGGGACCTCTCGCACCCTAAGCGAGAATCATGCCACTAGACCAAACACCCACGGTGCTAGTTTGTCATTTTATTTTGTGTTTGCTGGTTAACCATACAGCCACACGTTCTTGGGATCAACTATTGAGGCAGCTCACCCAGATCGCGTGCCTATGGAGGCTTCTAAGTTTCTCGAAAAAATCGGCCGGGCCTCGCCACCGGGCTATAAAATCCGCCATGGCTCCTCCTCTCAAACACCACAGCACCACTTCAGCTGTTCAATCGCTCTTCACCAGCGTCTCCCTCATCGTCCGAATTCAGCACCGTGGTTAACTCATGGCTATTTGCGCGACTCCTCTTGGTCGTACCTTGCTTTTGCTGGGGCTCGCCCTGCTCGGCCTATCCTGGCCGTTCATCGCGGCATCGAGGCGCGTGCTCCCGGAGTCATCAACGGCTGCCAGCACGTCGAATCTGTTCGGCGGTCTCTTCTCCTTCAGCTCGATGCAGAACCTCGATGTTACTGACGGCGGCGCCATCTCCCTCACGTTAGACCGCGTTGGAGGTACGTATCTGTAAGAATAAGAGTCAACTTAGCAGGAAAATCTGGGTGTGCAGTTGACTGAATCTGGGAGCCTTGAAGCGAGCACCACGTCTTAAAGCGGCAGTATACATTTGTCAGTGGGGGTTTAGGGTTTATAACTGAGCCTCCCAGTTCTGGGGCAACTTTTCAAGTTCCTAAGGAACTTGAACCCCTTCTGTCAAATGTATACCGGAGCTTTAACAGCTCGCCTCGTTTTCGGTGCTGTGCAGGCGCGGGATTTGAGTCGCGGCGGGCCTTCAGCTTCGGGACTTTCAGCGTGGACGCGAAGATGCCGCGAGGGTACTCCGCTGGGGTGTGCGCCACCTTCTTTGTACGTCCCTCCCGTTGCACCCTGCTTGAGCACGCGAGAAAGAATGCTTGCTTGCACCTTTTGTAACAACTCTGCTTGTGCCGTTGCATGTGCCTGATGGTCATGCACGTGTTGGTTGCACGCTGCATGTTAAGAGCGTGTTACGTTTCCCACTTTTTGGTGGCTGGTCGAGGCAACCAAGCAAGATCACCGCACACTACCGATGTTGGGTGTTTTGTCAACGCATAATACCGAAGTTTCTCCAGGATCAAAATTGCCCCGTTGGGTCGACCGTCGCAAGCGCTCTAAACGTAGAAACTGATTTATTTCCCCTGCTCCCGAATTTTTTTGCATGCGTCTGCAGCTGCAGTCAGGCGACTACGAGCATCGCAACGAGTGGGACTTTGAGTTCCTGGGGTCGCCCAACAACTCGCGAGGCATGACGCTGCAGACCAACGTGTTCATGAACGGCCAGGGCAACCAGGAGGTGCTCACCGCCTTTGCCTTCGACCCCGCCGCTGCCTTCCACACCTACACCATTCAGTGGGGCCCGCAGCGGACCGTGTGAGTGCCTCTTTCCACCACAGTTACATTAACCATTGCCCGATCGCCTCTCTTCAACAGCAGCAGCAGCTACCTTTTGCCTATTTCTCTTTGCTGTCAGCTGGCACCTGACAGCGCTTCATTCAAGCGTTTGAGCAACATTGAATTCACCTGTGCCTGCCATCTACCGTGTAATGTCAGGTGGCTGGTGGACGGAGTGAACATCCGCACAGTGAGCAACGGCAGCCCGCACTACCCCAAGGACCCCATGAAGGTCTACTTCAGCATCTGGGACGCCTCCCCCTGGGCCACTGGGCCCCGCACCGCCCGCATCCCCGTCAACTACGACTATGCTGTGAGCACACCTGTTACTTGGAGCTTGTGTTCATGTTGCAGCCGTCACTGCGTATTCATGTGTTGCTTTTTTCTTGCTTGCAGCCTTTCACTGTGACTTTCAAGAACTTCAAGTACACTCCGCTGTCTGCAAACTGATGGGACCGTGCCGGTGGTCATGGACTCATGGGATGGAAGTTGGTTGGGTTGAGGCAGAGATTGCTTCAACTTATCAATGCCATATCGTATAGATCTTATGAGGTTGTGGCCTCACCACAACAGTTTGTAAAACAGACGTGTTCAAATCAATGGGGGGGTTTGGTCCAGCACGTAAAACAAAGTGAACAATACTATGATAATAACATCTGTGTGAAATGGGTTATAACATCTCTCAGCGCTAAGATGCACTTCACTACGGCGTGACTAGGTTCACAACCTGAAAAGCGGATGGCAAATCCTCAAGTTTTCACTGACGCGCTCATCCCAGCCCCCTCACATTCGGGCATGCGCGCAGCATTGGGCTGGTTCAAGGGGACGCGCGGTATGCCATCCATGCTCCGCGCAGACAACGCCCCCCATGCCATCCTCGCTTCTGACATTCCCAATACCCAATGAATCTTGAGTCGGCTCCAAGCTTCTAAGCCCTGCGTTGCGGAGCACGGCCTCTTTCTTGGCTCCCACCCACTCTCGCGAGTCGTTAGGTGGAGTCGCGATGAGGCATCTCTCTCGATTGCAAGCCCAATGCCGCGCACCACACCCGTTCCGCCTGCCAACAGCGCTGCTGCTCTCCTCTCTGCTTGTTCTATCGGTACCGATGCTGCCGCGCAGCAATGCTGAATTCGGTACCAAGCCTGCTGCCGAGCCTGGCACCTCGGTAGGGACGGTAGACCCACGCGAGGTCGTCGAAACCATCTCCGAGTCGCTGAGCGATCTTGCCGCCGCCGTGAATTCCGGCGATGCATGCGGCATTCTGGACTTCTTCCCTGAAGCTTCGTCAATACTTCCTCCTCATTCCCCAGAACTTCATCTCAACGAGAGCGCGCTGCGACTGGGCCTGGTGCAGCAGTTGCTGGCGCTCGACATTAGAGTGCGCTTTAATGTCCTCGAGGCCTGGGTGGGCAAAGGCGACCCGGGGAGAGTCAGAGACGCGATCCGGATACGAACGCGAGGAGATCCGACGAAAGGGTCAGCGCCAGCGACAGCGCAACAGCAGCAGCAGAGAGGGGAGGAGGAAGAAGAGGAAGAGGAGGGCGCGGAGGGCAGTGGGGCGGGTGGGGAGGGCGCGGAGGGCAGTGGGGCGGGTGGGGAGGGCGCGCGTGTGCTGCGCGGCGGTGACCTGTTCGCCGTGGCTCGCATCGCATTCACAGCGAACTGCCTTGGCGCGACGTGGCGGGGCGGCCAGGCGAAGCAAGGAGGCGGCGCGCGGGGAGGCGAGGCTACGCCAGGCCGTGAGGGGGTCGAGGAAGGAGGCGAGGAAGCTTCCGTGTGCGAGTCAGCGTGCGTGGAGGGGTCTATTTTGGCCACGTGGCACAGATCTGCTGAGCTGGCGCGCAGCGGGGGCAAGGTGACGAGGCATGAAAGCGGGGGCTTTGAGGGCGAGAGCGGTTTGGGATGCGATTCTGGAGGGGCAGGCAATGACCACTCCAACGTGTGGCGCCTGCACTGGGCCGCCTGGAACCATGCCAACTGCCAGAACCGCGGAGCACCGCATTCCACCGCGTGGGGCGGTGCGGAGGGGTTGGTGCAGGTGGGAAGCGAGGGGCGGGCTAGCAGGAAGGGTGCGCGGCAGCTGCTGGTGACGCCAGAGTCCACCGCTTGGCTTACTGCTGCACCCGCTGATCTCAGCAGCGTGGGGGGTGACGTGCGCAGCAGTGCAGTGCAGGCGCAGGAGGGTGGTGCGCGCGGCCCTGCCAACCCTGCCAGTGTCATGCTGGGCCATGGGGGCGCAACGATGCAGCAGGGGGTACAGCAGGGAGTGCAGCAGGGGGTGGGGACTGGGGTTAGTCCGGAGGGGTTGAGGGGGGGTTGTGCGCAGTGGAAGGTAGAGGCAGCACTGGCAGCACTTACAGTGGCACTGCTGAATGGCAATGCCACCGCCGCTGCACAGATATTCGTCCCCGGTGCCGTGCTCTTCCCCCCGGCCTCCCTGCCCCTCACACTGCACACCACTGCACAGGCGGCAGCGTGGCTGCAGCCAGTCACGGGCCGCCGGCTCATCTTCCAGCCCCAGCTGGAGGAGCTGCTCGTGCTGCAGGCTGCCACGTGGCATGCTCTAGAGGGTGACACGTGGCATGCTCTAGAGGGTGACACGTGGCATGCTACGGCGCTCCAGGCGGCAGCAGCAGCAGTTGGAGTGGGGTCATCACCGACCGTGGTGGTGACACGAGGCGTGTACCGGCTGTGGGAGCTCAACGGTAAGGCTGCTGCCTGCCTGCGCTCTGCTTGTGCCTGCTACCTCCTTTTCCTGTCCTGCTTGCCTCGTTACTACTTTGAGCCGTAGCGCTTACTGTTCACCTTGTGTGTGTGTAGCGGGCATGGGAGCAGGGCTGGAGGAGGGGCAGGGCAAGTTCGTGCTGCTGTGGGAGAGCAGCAGTGAGGGTGACAGCACTGCAGCGCTGCATCGCAGCAGCAGCAGCGGCAGCAGCAGCAGCGGCGGGAGCAGGAAGGAGATGATTTCCGCGGCACTCCAGGGGAGAGAGCAGAGAGCGAGTGACGAGTCCCCAAGGGAGGGTGCAGAGGCATCAGCTTGGCAAGAGAGGGAGCCATACTGCCCCTCCTTCCGAGTGGCCAGGGCCCTCTGGAACTCCGACGTCCCTGCTGTGCCCCCCGCCCCCTCCCCCGCTTCCCCTCCCTCCCCACCCTCCCCCCCCTCCCCCCCTGCCCCCGCCTCCCCTCCTCCTCCTCCCCTTTCCCCTCCCCCGCCACCCGGCCCCAAACGCCCTCCCCCTCCCCCTCGTGCTCCTGGGAAGTCCCCCCCACCGCCTCCCACTGCTCGCCGTCCCCCTCCCCCTCGCCGGCGCTCCCCTCCCCCCCCTCCACGGCCGTGAGCACCTGGGGGGGTAGTGAGGAGAGCAGTGTACGGAGTGGGAGAGAAAGAGCGCAGAGAAGGCTGTGAGAAAGCAAAGCGTGTGTGGGAGATGTGGTATCAGCACGGTGACTGCTGGCATGACTGTGCAAGACAAGGTAGTTGCTGCTGCACGTACCAAGCTTGTGGATTGAAGGCGTTGATATATCTGTGGCAAATCCTTTTTCCAGGGAAAGGAGTATTCTGGATGCTTAATCAGCTGCTTCTGGCCTGAAATGTACCATATTGGTAGTTGACCATTGAATCAGGCTGTTCCATGTGTGCATTTCCAAGTCAGTGCATCCCAGATAGGTGTGTGAGAGCTGTGTGTGTGCGGAGTGCATGAACGTGGATGCTACTGATCAGTAAGGACGTGCTTCACCAGCCATGATCCCACTGATCCCACTGAATGGCAGTGGCGTGGCAGCATTGAACCTTGCCTTGCAGGCAACTGTTCATACATGCGACACAGTGAGCTTGGTTGAACCAGCCTACACATGGCATGAGGCAAGTCCCGCAGAAACCTAAGATAATTACACACACAGCAGCATTCGCCAACTTGCTTTATAGTTTCACGTCACAGGAAGCCCCATCCTTTCGGCTACCATGCAAGTGCAGCGATGCTGGCATGCGCATGGTGAGGAAACAGCCCCACCGAGTCAGGCGTCATATGCCCCCCTCCTTTGTGCTACCATGCAAGTGCAGCAATGGTACCACTAGTGTGCACATCCCCACGGAGGCAGCCCCACGGTAGCTAACACCACGGGCCACAGCTCCTCCTCTACCCTGTGAATGCAGCGATGGTGCTCTGCACATAGTCAGCAGGCAGACCAACAGTATCCATCGCCACGCGCCACAGCTCCTCTGCAGCCCTCTCGTTGCGCCCGTGCGCTGCCACCTCGCCCTGCCGCCCCTCCAGGTCAAAGTAGGGCCCCGATAGCAAGCCTTGCTCGCGCACTGCCCTCGCTTGCTCGCCCACTGCCGCGTGTGTGGCGCAGTACAGGGGTGCCAGGGCCCCTGGGGGACAGTAAGTGGGGTTGGGGTGAAATGGAAGCGAGTTTTTTCGAGGTGTAGTTTATGGAAGTGTGAGGAAATGGAGGGAGGACGTGGGGAAGAGGACAGATGCAGGAGGTTAGAAAGGACGGAGTGGCAAAGACACAGAACTCTGCACGCCTAGAATATTCAGTGTGTCGCACAAGCAATATTGGTCGATCCCCACCCCATGCATGCGTGAACGCAAATTGGCATGCGTGGGGTGCAGAGGGCGGGTGGGCATACCCTGCCAGGGCTCGAGAAGCAGGGCGTGCATGACGGCACGTTGCAGCTCCTGGATGAACCTGGGGAGAGTGCGCGCCTGCATGGGGTCACAGGCACGAGGACACAGGCAGCGGAGGAGCGATGGGAATCATGCGGCTACAGCGGAGATACGACCATAACAGCTGGCGAAGAATTTGAAGGAGGTGTGGATGGGGAGGAGCGATGGGTGTGAGCAGCGGATCAAGTGTGTGAGGGCGCACGTGACTGACCACGTTGGTGAGCACCTCCCCTGGGTGCACCGCCACCACGTCTATGCGCGCGCTGGCCGGCAGGCGGCGCTGCAACACGTTCGTCAGCATCAGCTGATGCCGGGCGCGCAGGGGAGACGGATGGGGGAAGATGGGGTGGGAGAGAGTGGGGAGAGAGGAGGAGGGACGGAAGCGAGAATGGGTTTGGTAACGAGGAAGGGAGGGTTGCACAGAGAGCAATGGCAGATAGGACCACGAGAGTGAGAGCGAATGGGTGTAGCGATCACGAGGTTAGGCAACAGGCAGCACGTTTTGAAGCAGGGAGCACACCTGAGCGAGCTTGCTCTGGTTGTAGGCGGCTGTGGCATTGAAGCGCCGTGTGCGCCCCTTGAAGCTCAGATCGCCCACGTCTAGATCGCCCCATGCATGCATCTGAGGGGGCGGGAGGGAAGACAAGGAGAGAGGAGAGTGAGGCTGTGCATGTGCGTGCGGGGTGAAAGAGGGTGCCATGAGGGGACTGCCATGAGAGGACTGCCATGAGGGGAATGCCATGAGGGGAATGCCATGAGGGGAATGCCATGAGGGGAATGCCATGAGGGGAATGCCATGAGGGGAATGTCATGAGGGGAGTGCCATGAGGGGTCAACTCTACGCACAGCCAGATTGGGAAGTGCTTAGAGTCGGCCATGGACGGCAGCAGGTAACAGATCAAGTGCTTCTCATTCACCGCGGCATGCGGAGCATATAGGTCCTTGTTGTGACTCACAGTGGACGACACGTTGACGATGCGAGCGCCGTGGGCGCGCAGCAGGGAGGGCAGCAGCAGCAGCGAAAGCAGCAGCGGGCACACGCAGTTCACCGCTATGTGCTCCTCCAACCCGTCCGCTGTCAGTCGCTGGGGGGCTGGGGGGGGGGAAGAGGGACGGGAAAGGCCGAGAGGAGGGACGGGTGGGACAGGCGATGAGAGAAGGAAGGTGAGGTAAGGAGGGAGGAGGGTGGACCAGAATACGGCTCAGGTTGCGTGTATCAGGGCACCCTGGCAGGTGAACTAGCAACGGCGGCGAGGCACGGCCCTCGGCGTCCATCAGCGCACCTCCCATGGAGAAGATCCCCGCGTTGTTCACCAGCACGTGCAGCGGACGCGCCTCCGCCTCCCACGCGCGCGCGAACGCGCGCACCGACGCGAGCGACTCGAGGTCCACCTGGCGCACCTCCGCGCTCACGCTGCCCGCCTCGCCCTCCCACGCCGCGATCAGCTTGCTGGCGGCTTCCGGCCGCCGGCACGCCAGCACGACGTGCCCGCCCGCTAGGACCAGCTGCCTGCGGACCGGGTGGGGGAGCGCAACGGACGAAGGTGGGGGAAGGGATTCAGCTGGCAGTTGCGAGAACGAGTAACTGCTGGGCCGCATGATCTGGCAGGATTCGCAAGTGCTCACTTAGCGATCTCGAGGCCAATGCCGCTGGTGGGACCCGTGACGATGACGGTCTTGCCGCGAATGCTCGGGTCGCACGCCCACTCCGCGATCCCTCGTCGCTTGATCATTCGCCGCTGAACGATGATCTCCCACACGATGCGGATGCATGCGACGATCTGCTGCCACAGGCCCACCCTGATGCGCGCCAATGCCATCGCGGCGCGACGACCCTTCCCCTACAAGATTATTGAAACGCAAACAGGGGTGCTATGCTGTTGCGCGAAGGATAGTTCAGAATGAGGCTACGGATTGTCGTCATGTGACAGAGCGTGGTCCAAATTGGTTCAGAGGAGAAGCGATTAATGCCATAGCTGCGATCAATCGGAGTCAGCTAGAAGTTTCTGAGCCTATCCATCGGCAATGTCTCGCTCGGAAGCGAAGGAATTGGGACGAGGGAGCTATGAGCTACGGAGGAAACGATGGTGAGAAGCGCAAGCACGAGAAGGGAACTTGATTGTGTTGTGCAGAGTGGCGTGGCGTGTGGAGGAGCGAGTGTTCTTTTCGCTATGATGATCTCTGTTTCGCTTTGCACGTATCCAATCGTGACCAGAGTCCATGTCGTGAGAAGGTGCTGCTTTTCTATTCAACAGTTTTCCCCCCAGATTCTGTCCCTGTCAGAGGTGACAGTATCGAGCTGCGGGGATCTGCGTGCATGTACGGAACGGCGGGGGGCTTCCACACCTCGCGGAACCCCGAACCTTGATCCTGAGCTACCTCACATCCAGCACCCATGCGCCTGAATAAACCGTTTGGAACCACATTCAGCCGTGCAGTCGTTTGACTCGGATATTTTCTCCGAGCCAAGCTGAGATACAGCCATCCAATCCCTGGGGAAACTGGAAAAGGCTACAAGCAGCTGGCCGTTAGTACATAGTTGATGTGTGCGCAGTCGAAGAATCTTGCTAATGAGAGCAATTGTGCGGGATTTTTTTTCCACGATAAGCGTCTATAGTATCATGTTGTGAGAATGCTCAGTGTCGTTACGTTCTAGTCAAACACTCCTTTTTCTTTCCTCGCCGTCGCTGTGCGCGTCGCTAAACGGGGAACGGCCGGCCGTGCGATCGTGGGACGCAGGATGATGTACCCCAAGGCCGCAGCGCCGGGCGTGGTTCGGCTTGACCAGATTCCGCGATGGACAGAGCAGGAGTTCGGCGCGGCGGCTCTCGGAGGCTCCGCGCTGGGCGACATCGCGATCGCGGCGGACCTCATGGGGCTCGAGCCGCCAGGAATAGGAGTCACCGCATTAGATGGAGATCCCGGCGCGTCGGGCGCGGGAGTCGCAGCAGGCGCGTCAAGCTACGCGACGGCGATTGCTTCGACGAGCTCGGCGGGCGACGAGGACCCGGGCGGGTTCGACGACCCGCTCTCCGCGCACGGCCTGGAGCTGCGCGGCCGCGGGCGCGGATCCGGCGGCGCGCCGAAGTTCCCGGTGAACGCGGAGCTGAACGCGAAGGTGTACGTGTGGCGCGGCGCGCCGTGGGCGCTGGAAGTGGACGCCGTGGTGAACTCGACGAGCGAGAGCCTCGACCCCGCGCTCTCGTCGCCCGGCCTGCACGACGAAGCCGGCCCGGGGCTCGCCGAGGAGTGCGCCACGCTGGTCCGTGCCGCGCCCCGTCCCGTGCTGTGCCGTCCCGTCCCTCCCTACTGCCGTTGCTGCTGCTGGTTTACGCGTAGGGTTGTCGCTGTCGGGATTCGTTTGCAGGGATGCGTGGGAGGGGGGCGGGGATGTGGTTAGTTGCAGTTCACGGGGTGTGGAGAGCACGGGGCTTGGTCGATAGAGCAATGCGCCCCTGCGTTAGCGAAGACCATGTGTGCGTGAATCTGATCGCTCACGCGCATGTCCGTGTGTGTGCGTGCCGTGCTGTGCGGTGTGCGTGCAGGGGGGGTGCAGAACGGGCGAGGCGAAGATGACGGGCGCGTACGAGCTCCCCGCCAGGTGAGCCCCTCTCTACCACTCCCCGCCGCGCCTTCACCTCTCCTCGCATTCCCTCACCCGCCTCATCCCCTTCATTCCCTCACCCCGCCATCCCCCTCAGCCCGTGACCCCGCTCTCCCCCTCACCTCACCTCCCCCACGTCCGTTCCCCATGTCTGTGGACACACGGTGCATAATCACGTGGCAGGCGCGTGATCCACACGGTGGGGCCGCGGTACACGGACAAGTACCAGACGGCCGCCGAGAACGCGCTCAGCCGCTGCTACCGCATCTGCCTCGAACTGCTGCTCGAGAACGAACTGCGCAGGTGGGCGGGGGGGGGGGAAGGGGCGGGGAGGAGGAGACGGAAGGGAGATGGGAAGCGGTGCGGGTTAAGAGAAGGAGGTCAGGGAGCAGGGGTGCTGGGATCTGCTTGGGGCAAAATAATGCTTAAGTTAGAGAATGCTGCAGCTGTTTCTCATTCTTCTCCCTTCTCCTTCCGTCCTGCCAACTTTCCCACCTACGTCCATCCCTCCGCTCTTTTTCCCCTGTTCTCCCTTCCTCACGACAACCCCCTCCCCCCTGGCAGCATAGCGCTGCTGCCCATCTACTCAGAGGCGAAAGGGTATCCCAGGGAGCCCGCTGCTCACGTTGCGATCCGTAAGCCACTCTCTGCCCATCATCTACATACCGTACCCCACCCGCCACGCAATGCTGTGCTATTCCTCCACCACTCATGCTGCAAGCCTCCGCCTTTACACATTCATGGCCATGTTTAGAACATGCGCTCTTAGATTCTGCTCCGTGTTTTCACCATGCTGGTACCTCACACCCTTGCCCGTCCGCCCTCTGCCCACCTGCCCTGCCCCCCTGCCCCGCCCCTCATGTCCCCCCGTGCCCTCCCTGCCTTCCCCCATGCCTTATCAGGCACGGTGAGGCGGTTCTTGGAGAAGCATGGGCGGGGCATGGCAGCGGTGGTGTTCTGCATCCAGACGGACGACGACCACCTCATCTACAAACGGTGCGCGCGCCCCCGACCCACATGCACTCTCACTCTTGCCGCCTCTTTCACTCCACACGTCCACGTTACTCTCTATTTCCTGCGCTCCCTTGCTACCCAATGCAATCCCACGCTCCCTCCCCATTCCCACCCCCTCTCCCCACTCCCATTTCCTCTCCCTCTCCCACTCCTCCACTCCCTCTCTCACTCCTCCGTGTTCCCCCCACTGACCCCTCGCACAGCCCATACAGGCTGTTACCGCTCTATTTCCGTGGGACAACATTGAGGAGGTGGCAGCGCAATCCCTGCTGCTGTTTATCACCAGGCACAGCACAGCAGTTCCTCCAACTCCCTCACTCACTCCTCCGTGCTCCCCCCACTGCCCCCCTCACTCGGCCCGTGCAGGCTGTTACCGCTGTACTTCCCGCGGGACAGCAGCGAGGAGGTGGCAGCGCAGTCGCTGCTGCCAGCGGACGTGGGCGATGAGAATGGCGAGATTGTGATCGCGGAGCGCATGATCCGCATCTCCAAGATGCCCTGCCTGCCCTCCTCTGCCAACAGGTGCGTGCACTGCACACTCCTCACAACACTATCACACATGTTCTCTTGATATGTTTTGACAAAAAACTGAAACTCACGATGCCAATTTGTCCCCCCGTGCCGTGTGCTCGCTCCTCCGCATCTACCCCCCACCCCCAGCGCGTCAACATCAAGTGCGCTCATCCCAGCACAACCTCCCGGGCAGCTGTCCCTCTCCTCCACGTTCGACGACTCGCTTCTAGACCCAGCGTTCATCAGCATGGCCAAGGACCCCGACCAGCGCCGCGTGGAGCAGCGCGAGCACGCCTTGGCGTCGGCACAGACGGGGTGGATCTGGCTGTGGGCGCGCTGCCTGGGGCTCGACCTGGGGGACACTGTGGTGTCGCTGCTCACTGCGGGCGAGCAGCTTGCGCTGCATGGGCGGTACCTGGCACGCGCTGAGAAGCTGGACCTCACTGAAGTGCAGGACATGCGCATCATGTGAGTGCCTCCCACTCTTGCCTGCTGTAGTGTAGGCTGTGGTTGGTGCTGCTGCCACACATGCCATTTGTCTTCATCTTTTGTGTCCCTATCTCACCCGTTGCACAAACACGCATGTGCACGGGGCATGCAGGTACCGGGGCGGCACGGACTCAGCGGGGCGCAGTGTGATGGTGGTGGTGGGGGCGCACTTCCTCGTGCGCTGCCTGGACCTCGAGAGCTTCATCTTCCATGCTGTCAAGGTCAGCACTGCATGCCTCCACCGCTACTTCCTTGAACGTTAAATTCAACAAAAGGAAGTTCGTGCACACAGAGCTGCTTCCTCGTGCGCTGCCTGGACCTCGAGAGCTTCATCTTCCATGCTGTCAAGGTCAGCCCCGGCCCATCCCACGCTCTGCAGGCGCCCCAACATAGATCGTGAATTGCAGTGGTTGCTCTCATGGTCTTTGGCTATTTCTTAAGAAGAGCCTTGCTTGGCTTTCTGTCTCCATGCTCATCTTTGCTTCGTACAATGTGCATACCTCCACCCCACCATGCGTCTTTCCCAACAGGAGTTTGAGCCCATCCTTCACCGTCCCTTCACCATTGTTTATTTCCATGCCGCCACAACCCTACCAGCGTGAGTTCTCCTTTCTTGTCAGCTCCTCGTGTGAACTTCCACCTTTCGTGTCTCTGATGCCTGATCACCCATGCCTCTTCCACACAGTGCCCCTTACTTTTCGCGCACACGGGTACTCAATATGCCATGCCAACATTCGGCTATGTGTGATGCAATTTGTTTGTGTCATCTACGCCATGGGACATGCATTATCTCATTGGCTGTCCATCCATCCCCGTTGCTGGAATTGCCTACCCCATGCAGCATGGCTGATTATGGGTGGATGAAGCGCCTCCTGAATGTGCTCGGGCCCAAGTTCAGAACGAACCTGCATGTGAGTTCTCGGGCATCTGAGCCTGTTGGCTGTGGCGGTCTGGCATGTCACTTGTGGGTTGCTTTATTGGGTATGTCTTCTCAGAGGGGCCACACTAAGCCATGTCTGAGTGCTGGTGTGTTAGTAGTTTTAAGCTCACGTGTTCCTGGCTGTTGTTTTTGTCAGACGGTGTATGCAGTTCATCCAGACATGCGGCTCAAGGGAACTGTGTGGGGCATGCAACTGCTGGTGGACCCTCTGGTAAGACATGCACAGTCTATATAGTTCTGTGTGCACTGCATGATGCGATGCAAGCATGCATGGGAAATGTTGGATGATGTAAGCTGGTTTGTGACACGTACGTGGCTTCAAACTTTTTCTTTTTCTTTTTCTTTTATGCATTCAGGTGTTCAAGAAAGTGAAGTATGTGGGCAGATTGCTTGAGCTGTTCAGACACGTATCGCGAGAACAAATAACAATACCAGAGTTTGTCTTTATGTAAGTACACAGCCATTGTCCTTGCGTACCATCCTCATTGTTCTTGCTGCCTTTCCAGTGTCTACCTCTTACCTTTGTTGTGCATATGTCTGGTTTGGTTAGCGCCTTTCCTGCTTGTGGGGCCCTTCTGACCATTCCGTCCTACCCATTTTTGCCATGTGGTTCTTTGATTCAGGCATGACGTGGAAGTAAACCCTCAGGATGTGGTAACCATGAGTTTCCAATCAAGGTTTGTTTCTCCACAAGCCCGCCTCCCTGCTCCGGCTTAAAATACAATAGATGTTGGCTAGCATGCATGCCAAAAGTGCTACTGCACCTTTTTTTTTGTCCATACAAAATCAACATTTCTAGTGTCTGATACTTTAGTGCCCTCTTCTTTGTCAAAGGGCATGAAACATGTAATATATTTTATAGGACTCGTAGACTTACATACAATAACGAATTTCTTCGAAAGCATTCACTGTCACGCGTCAGCCACGAAACCGAGGCGATATGCGAGGTCAGCAGCACTGACCCGTTCAGAAGTGGCAGCTGTCTTCTGCATTTGAACCCCCAACAAACACAAATCTCGCAACATTCCCCAAGCAGCTTCCCAGTCAGGCTTTCCCAAATGGAGTTTCGTCCAAGGTCATGGGCAGATCACATGGCCTCGCTCTCAAGCCGACCGGCAGGAGGCTCTGGCTTGCCTCCGAAGCCCGCTTTGTCGTCGTTCTGGAGATCTCAACTTTCGCAGAAAACAAAGAGCGTGACCTTTTCGCAAATGAGTGAACCTTACAACAGCCAAGACGTGACAGACTCACAGTTGGATTCGCAACCTGGTGCTGGTTGTTCCCAAAGCCAGGACCAGGGGTTCTCGCAAAGTCAAGCAGACCCCTATATCCAATATTTAAGTCAACCCGAACTAGTGTCAACACCTGTGGAGGAGAACAATGGATGGGTCGGACTAAGCCAGCCAGTGAACTTAATTGTCAAGAAAGAAGAACCACGACCCGCAGTTGTTGAGTCTTCTCTTTGTTTGGAAATGTATGCGGACATTTACAGCAGCCTTGTGCGAGGAGACATAGACGGGAAGGTGCTCGCATGCACGGGTCTGGACGAGCTGAAATTCAGACGAGGGGATTTGAAAAAGGTGAAGCTTTTGACATACGCTGTTGAATCCAATTTGCTTATCTTGAGCTCATTTGCAGCTGAGCAGGTGCTCGCCATCCACGGCCTTGCTGATGGAAGTTCCAAGTCGAGAAAGGTAAGATTGTGTCCATGCCATCCTCACTTCAATGTTATTGTTATTGTCTTACAACCTCCTACCATTGACAGGAAGTCTTGGCTTCTCTGGTTGGAATGCGGCTGTGGCGCCCGTTATGTGAGCTTTCAAAAGCCGTTGAGTCAACGAAAGTACGAATGCCACCTCTTGAAGAAGTAAAGCAAGATCTAATGGCGGTGGGCTGGCTGGATAGTCCTGTCAACGAACTTCTGAAAGTCGAGATGAAGGCCACTGGAGTTGCTGCTGTTGATTTGAGCACGCAAGCGCCAGAGAGCCAAATTGAGCCTGGAAGTCCTCGGACGACAACACTGAAGGGTTTAGAATCCAGGCTTCCTTCTGTGCCAGAGAAAAGCCTTGTGGCTGAAGCTGTGGCAAAGCTTCTCAAGATGGAGCAATGTCCGCCAGTGGACTTGGCCGAGAACGTTAAGTCGGACTGGAGGAATGTGCTCACTCTGACGAGTTCAAGGCCCATCAAACGAGAAGCAGAAGAAACTTCGGATACTGGCAACATGATGGTCATTTCCACACCACGACCTAAGCTTGTAAATTCCGGCACATCCATGGACGATCCGTTTCCTGGGCCCGACCGCCCTATGGAGCGTTGTGGAGTCTCTTTGAAGCAAAATTGCACGGTGAGGCTCATCAATTTGACCGTTTTTGTTATTTGGCAAGTTCTGACAGGAATGTCCACTTGACAAGAGATTCTGGTATACCTGAGCAGGCCATGCGCGGGCCTCTTGTTCAATTACTGGAAAAGACTAACAGTACTGGAATAATGGAGCAGAGGAGCAAATGTGGAGTGATGGAAGCGCCCAAGTCCTTGGAACAGCAGCTTATTGTTGATAAACAAAGAAAAACTTCTGTGCATGCAGAGGAAACAGACATGAAAACCGGTATCTGCAACGGCAAAGTACCAGTTTTGGCAACGGCACCACAGATCAAACCCGAACCAGCAGAAATTGCAGAAGAAGTATTTAAAGGGCCTGCTTCTCCTAGCCCTCTTGATGAGCAGATTTCTGGAGCAGCTTCAGTGGACTGGGTATCGTTGGAAAACCAGGTTTTAAGGTTATCGCTCCATTTGCAAATTGACACGAACGAGGTCAAGCCAAACTCGAAGATTGGGAGGACAGTGATAATGGTTTCTCTCAAGGTATGTCTATTTCAAGCGTATTGATGCATTTCTGGTTAGGGGAATTGCATCTTCTCTTCATGCATTGCTGCTGCTGTTCAGGGGGTCAACAGCTCTCACAGGAATGACATCGTGAAGTTGCAGCCTTTAGTCCATGTAGGGAGAGTTATGCGGACTGTAAAGAAGTCCCATATAGACGGAATATGTTCAAAGGATTGCATGGTAAGATGGAAATGCATAAGGCCATGCTTCTGTCCCACTCCCTATGCTGTCAATGCTTAACCAGTTTTCATGTGTGTCATTGCAGAAGTCGCATTCCCCCTTCAGGATTCGTTCTCAAGGAGGGGACCGAGCTAGCATTGCTGACTTGACTGTGGATCTATCTGACAGCATGAGAAAGTTCAGCTGGGATGAATTGTGGACTGCAGCTAAGGCAAAAGATTCGCGTCTTCATGGAGCTTGGGTTATGACAAGCAGGGCTGAGCTTTCTATGACAGAAAGCCAGAAGCATGCGAATGTGCGCCAAAGGCCATTGCTGCACCAGAAAAGGAAGCTGTCGAAAATGGTGAGTTACTAAATGCCAGAACATGTTCGAGCCTGTGTTCTTACTTGCTGCACCAAAAAAGGAAACTGTAAAAAATGGTGAGTTTCCAAACGCCGGAACATGTTCGAGCCTGTGTTCTTTCATCCATTCTTAAGGCTTTCTTTTTTCCAACCCACATCTATTGTGGCAGACCCCTGCAGGTGCATTTCAACAACAAGAACTAAAAGTGGGCTCACTTGTTTGGGCCAAAGATCGGGGTATCTGGTGGCCTGCTGAGGTGAGATCCATAAAGTGCTGTCTTCTCGTTAATGCAGCCTGTAAGTTGCAGTGGCTGACACTACCCACCAGCACAGATAACAATAGCCGCTGACGAAGATGAGCCTTTTGGGAATGTTGAGGTTAAGCTTTTTGGAGAACCCCGAGTCAGGTATGGAGAATCAGCCTTTCAGCTAAATAATGTCATCTCAATCATTGCATTGCACTGAATTCTTTACACTGCAGAATGAACGTGGGGCACTCATCCCTTGAGCCATTTCTGGAAAATGCTGCACGGCACAACTGTGGAAAGCATTCATCTGCATTTAGAACTGCAGTGGCTGATGCGATGCTGAGAGCATCCCCTTCAAAGGAAGTACACGGCTTGGAATGCAGGGAGCAGGCTTCAGCTTCAATTGGGAGTAACGACAGGAAGAAGAGGAGATGAACCAGATCATAATGGAAACGCGTACAGCATGACAAGCTGGTTCTGCCATACACTGGAATGTGACACTCAAAGCTTCTGACAACGGTTCTTCTCCCATCGAAGTGTTCAATACTGGTGCCGAGTGCACCTGACAAACCACATCCCTCAAGACTACACATCTAATGTACAGCCTACATCTGCCCCCCACAGCTCTAGTCATGACTCATGACGCTTGTGGGATGACATTCTCAGGAGGAGGCTGTGAAAGTGTTGTTGCGCGCAGCAACTCCAGGGTCAGAACAAGTCCAAGAAAGTGAGAAAGAGCAGTGTTGCCAGACGCCTGCAAGGAGGCCAGAATGGAAGTAGCAAACATATTACTTGTATTTGTTTCCCTTTCCAAGCTCATTTGTGACTCCTGAGAATTATGAGCATTTTACCATCAACCAGTGACCCAGCAGCAAGAAAAAAAGAGATGATGCTAGCCATAACCATGGTGCTCAGCATGCACGCACCTGAACAAGGAAGACGTCGAGGGCCAGAACAGGGTTGTAGCCGGTGGGAAGGCCAACAGCACCATAGATGGGAGTGGAGGAAGTAAGGGCTTTGGCAACGAGCACTCCAACAGTGGCCTGGAGGCCGAGGAGAGTGGCTCCTAGGCCAAGCAAGTTGATAATGAGGCCATTCTTGAGATTCGCCACCACTGAAGAGCGAGGAGGGGCCTGCAATGTGATCATGCATATGAATGGATGAATAAGACAAATAATACGGCCTCGCCACCCACTGAGCTAAGAGCAGTCTGTCGGCAAGGCAGGGCAGATTCTATATAGTTACCACCATGGAGGAGGAGGGGCGCTCGGGCATAAGCTGGCGTTGCACCATCAAAGGATGCGAGCAAGGAACTCAGGAACTCTAATTGGCGCACCTTCATGGGGTTTTCAATGGCATTGCGTAGCCGATCGGCTAGCCTGAGGTACCCAAATGACCAGAAGACAGACAGAAATGCGGCCACGATTCCAGCCGACGTGAGATACGTGGAAACTGGAGCTGTAGGCCGACCAGAGATGACAATGGAGAAGGTGAGAATCACGGAGGCGACAACAGAGCAGACCAGCTGGCCCCAGAATCCGATGATTCCCAACTGGCGGAAGTATTTGGACGTCCGCTCCACCCGCTTCGAAGCCTGGTAGCGAATCGTGAGTGGTAAGGTAAAATAGAAGTGGTTTGGATACGAATCTGGGGACGCCGTAATAGGTTTATGAAAAGTGGCATAGATTCACAAAGCCAAGGAGTAAAATGGTGGACGCCATGGAAGATCATGTATGCGGACGCTTTAACAAGATTCAAGGCAAACGGAGCACGCAAAATCCACGCCGCTCACCTGCTCACGCCTGGCGGCCTCCTGGGGATCAATCTCCTGCTCATACTCGTAGCCCGGCGACACGTAGTCAGCAGCGCGAACGGACCAATCGCGACGCGTTGAATAGGACGAAACTACTCCACGCTGAAAAGGCCCCGAAGAAGGACCAGAGGACGAGATTGCAGTCTGTGCGCGAGCAGAAAGTGGTCGGGTAGAGGTCACAACCGGCGAAAGGGCAGGAAGAGCCGGGAAACGGCAGAACGAAAGATTTTGACTATGGATGGAACGACGAGTCGTTAGGGAGAGCGACCCGCTAGGAGAAACAGCTGCGACATTCGGGCGAAATAGAACTTGAGAAGCCATGGCGGAAATGGCCTTTTGAATAGATGAGCAGGCTGAATACTGAATCGAAATTTGAACTTCTTGAAAGATTTGGTCGGAGTGGAGATGAAGGGGGGAATGGCTGGCCCCCGCAAAGACCAACGAAAGCTATGCGGAGAGAGCTGCGAGTTTGCGACATCTGTTACCAGACAGGCTGTGTTGTGGTGGTGGACGAAATGGGTGCCCGAAGTTCCACCGCGAAATGTGCAGAGGGCGAAGACGAACTCCCACCCACCACGACCCAGATTCAATTCCTACCTGTCATCAACTTCCACGCCATTGTCGCAACCAGAGTCTCGAGGGCGCTGGTGCCGAAGCCATTTAGGTGTCGTTGACCGCATAATCATGACGCAACATGCAAACGATGCTGCCGTATCTGTTTCAGACTCACGCCTTAAATTGTCGCACGTACTGCTCGTCGTCGCGTACCTCATCGCAGCCGTCCTCGTAGTCCTCTCCTTCTCGCCACGACTCCGCCTGGCGGAGCAGCAATCATCGCCCGCTTCATCCGGGAAAAATGGAGCCCGTCGAGCGCGGCGATTGGAGGACGAGGAGGCGGCGTTCAACGCGAGTTTTGATTTCAGTCTCAACGAGACGTGGAAGGAGGGCTTCTTCAACATGACTCTCGAGATTGAGTGAGTCCGCTGGCTCCACCTGCTGCTGCACGCGCTTGGCCTGAAGCCGCTTACAGCTGCCGTGAGTTGTGGTCGCGGATTCACGCCCACGAAGAAGCTCGCAGCGCGCGTGAGCTAGAGATGCGGTGTCGCTGCTGAATTTTGAGGATTTTTTAGAATCTCTTACGGAATTGCGGTGTTGTCGTAGCTGGACTGATGCGCGCTTCCCCCATTCTAACCACCGCCACGTGTCTCGCAGGAAGTGGCGGGCTGGCGGCGGCTGCGATCGCTTTCGTGAGCGCTTCTCGTCGCACCTCCACGTGGACCTGCTGCAAGACGACGACCCCGCCTCCTGGCCGCCCAACCCCTCACTGCAGGTCGGTAGCGCCCCCCATACGCTTCATTCCCCCCCACTGCATCACCACATCACTCCATCACTGCACCAGCGCATCACTACCCGCTCCATCCTCCCCTCCCTTCACGCTCACCACCCACCCCCCTCCTCCATCCGCCCACATCGCCCCTTCATGCAGCCGCTGTCGTTACCGGAGTGTCCGCGGATACAGCAGCGGCACGTGAGCGTGCGGGTGCAGCCGCCCTTTTTGAGGCGCCTCAAACACCCCCTCCTCTTTCCGCCCCCACCGTTCCTCCGTGGCAGCCCCTATCGTTACCAGAGTGTCCGCGGATACAGCAGCGGCATGTGAATGTGCGCGTGCAGCCGCCATTCGTGTGGTTTGGGCAGCGCTTTGGCAACCGCCTGGGGCTGGAGGGCACTCACTCGTGCGCGCACTGCGGCCTCACGTGCACTGTGAGGGGCGTCATGCGTGTGGTGCTGCGAGTGGCGTGAGGGCTGTGAGGGGTGTGAGCTGTGCAGTGTTGTATTTGGCACAGGACTGCACTGCTGTGGGTGCCTGGTCATTTTAGAGTCGAGCCCTAACCTAGGTTGTTGTGTTCACTGCATCATGCTCCTGCTGTCCGCCTTCAGCTTCCTCCGCTCCTCTCTCCCTCCCTGGCAGTTCTCCTGGGAGGAGCAGGTGGTGCCTCGCCCTGACGTGCTGCTCTTCGTGCGCCAGTACGGCCCTCTCAAGGAGGCCGAGCAGAGGGGTGAGTGTGCCTTGTTCACACCACGCCACACCACACCACACCGCACCACACCACACCACTTGGCAGGTGGGGCATGGATGCACTCACCACACCACACTGCCCCCCCGCCCACTTCCCCCCTTACCTTCCCCTTCTTCGCCCTGCCCTCCTCCCCCCAGCTATGGTTGCGCTGACCACACTCCCTCCCAGCGAGCGCCCCCTGCTGGCCCTGCTGGACCCTGAGGCAGCACCCGAGGGCGCCACAGTCCCCGACCGGGAGATCTTCTCCCCGTGGATGCCCATGGAGGGAAGCGTTTGTGGTCCGAACAACTTCTCCCACTTCGCCCCTCTCCCCTCCCTCCCCCAGAAATGGATGCGCTGACCACGCGGCCTCCCCACGAGCGGCCTCTACTCGCCCTGCTGGACCCCGAGGCAGCACCCGAGGGCGCGACAGTGCCGGGGCGGCAGATCTTCTCCCCGTGGGTGCCCATGGAGCAGCAGGCGCGGTGGGACGTGGTGGTGGGGTACCACAGGGACAGCGACGTGCAGATCACCTACGTGGGCATGAATGATGATGAGGCGCGCAAGGACCTCGTCTCCAACATCAAACTCGCTGTGAGTGAGGATGAGCTGTTCTCTATTGTACTCGCTCTTGATAATTATGAGTACGCCATTGGTTCTGCACGCCCTTGCAGATGTGCTATTGTTCACTCAACACACGCCACTGTTCCCATCCACACCCCTCCTTGCCAGGGTGTGCTGCTGTACCATGCGAGGTCGCACTGCTCAGTGCAGTGGAGGGAGGCCATGGTGAAGGGCGTTCTCCGTGTGGTGCGCCACCACTCGTTCTCCCTTGTCGATTTGTGTACCCCATTGTCACCTCCAACCCCTCTTCCCTGTGCCATGCAGGGAGTGCCGCTATACAGGGCGGGGTCGCACTGTTCTGTGTGGTGGAGGGAGGCCATGGTGAAGGACATCCTGCATGTGGTGCGCCACCACTCGTTCGGCCGCTGCCAGTTCAACATGCACCGCATCTCCGAACTCATTGCTCACCCCACGTGCCGGTATGCCAGCGCACACGACCTACTTGAATTGAAATGACCACGATTTGAGCTCCTTGCGCACCCCATGTGCCAGCGCACTGTGTGTGCAGCAGGCATGGAGTGTGCCAAGTCAGCGTTCCCCTCTCCTGTCACTGCCTCCTCTTCTACCTGCTCGGCCCCTCGTCTCCTCCGTCCCTCCATACCCCACAACCCAGTCTCGCCTCCACCCCAACCTTCACCATGCTGCAGTGCGCCGCTGGACAAGTGGACGGCACGCACACACTGTGTACACTCCCTTCCCGTCCGCCCCCTCCGCTCTCCACACTCCACACGCCACTCAGTTACGACTGTGGATGTTCTGCATTCTGTAATGTATTTCATCCTTCAAAAAACAAAGAAAAAAACTCCTCACCTCCAACCCATCGCCCCCACCTGCATTGCAGCACCCCCCTGGACAAGTGGACGGCGCGCACACACTGTGTGGAGTCGCGGTACAAGTTTGCCATTGCGGTGGAGAACAGCGAGAGGGAGAGCTACGCCACTGAAAAGCTCTTCATCCCCTTCGATGCCGGTCAGTTGCACCTCTGCCTTCCCCCTCTCCATCCCCCTCTCCATCCCCCTCTCCATCCCCCTCTCCATCCCCCTCTCCATCCCCCTCTCCATCCCCCTCTCCATCCCCCTCTCCATCCCCCTCTCCATCCCCCTCTCCATCCCCCTCTCCATCCCCCTCTCCATCCCCCTCTCCATCCCCCTCTCCATCCCCTCTCCATCCCCCTCTCCATCCCCCTCTCCATCCCCCTCTCCATCCCCCTCTCCATCCCCCTCTCCCCTCCCCTCCTCCTACCCTGTCCCCCACTCTCCCCCGCTTTTTCCCCTCTTCCCCTTCTGTTTCGCCTTCTTCCGCTCTCTCCCGTTTTACCCTCTTGTCACTCCATGTCCCTGCGTTTTCCCGAACAATACATTTCTGTCATCACACCCATCCGCAATCGCCCCTCTGCACCGCACTCCACCAACCGTGACCCCTCACCCCTCAGGCACAGTCCCAGTGTACTTTGGAGCGCCAGACGTGGCACACCTGGCACCGCCCGGGTCGTTCATTGACGTGCGGGCCTTCCCCAACAAGACTGAAGTGGGGGTGCTAATCAACCAGCTCGATGCCAATGCCAGTAAGTGTCTCGCTCCTTCTCCCTCTCCACGTGTGTTGCGAGTTTATTTTATACGCACCCGTGTCGCTCATTAACATGAGAGCCTTCCCCAACAACACAGGCGTGAGGGTGCTCATCAACCAGCTCGACGCCAACGCCAGTACGCCCTGCTCTCCCTCTCCCTCTCCCTCTCTCTCCCTCGCTCTCCATCATTCTTGCCTCTCTTCCCCTCGCCCTCCCCCTTGCTCTCCCTCTATGTCCCTCTCACGGTCTCACCAACCGTGTCTTTTGAGAGTTCCCTTCCCTTCCCCCACTCACACGCCTCTTCCCTCTCGCCATGTCCGCCCCATCCGCCTCCCCCCCTCTCACAGCGCAGTACCTGAACTACCACGCGTGGCGCATCTGCAACAGCAGCGGGAACCTCAAGCACGCCACAGCCCTCTCCATCCTCACCCTGCCCTGCCGCCTCTGCCTCAAGGCCGCTCTGCTTCTCGCTGACAGACAGGCAGCAGCATCGCTGGGAGAAGCTTCCCCCAACTCTGCATCCCCTCCCGCTCCCTCCACGCCTCCTCCTGCTGCCTCTCCCCCTCCCTCCTCCCCGGTGCCTGATGCTTCCCCTCCCCCACCTGCTGCTCCCCCACCTGCTGCTCCCCCACCTGCTGCTCCCCCACCTGCTGCTCCCCCGTTATCACCACCTCCTCCTTCTCCCACCTCCCCTCCACCGCTCCCCCCGGCTGCACCCCCTCCTACCACTGCACCGCCTCTCCCCACCCTTCCTTCACCAGTCACATGACCCCGGCTGCGTCACCTGCCGTCGCCGTCACTGCCTCCCGTGCACCTGCCACCAGCTGCTGTGAGCAAGCCATGTGAGCCCACAGGCCGAGCACGTATGCATGTGCTGCCTTTCCATACAGGTGTGCCTGAACTCCACCCTTTCATCCGGTGACCAGCTCCCCGCACCTCTGCCCTCTCTTCCTGCCGTTGCTCTGCTCTGCACCACGGCATCCCATCCCTCTATTCCATCCCATCCGTTCCATCTTAAGATCCGGTTCCTCCTCCCTCCCATGCTCTGCCTCAGACCGGCATTCCGTTTAGCTCCACTCAGTCGTCCATTCCATCATAACACCCTGTCCCTTCCCACTCCTGTTCTGTGCACCGTCCAGGCCGACAGGGTTGCAGCTTGGAGGTGTCGTGTGTGTTGGTGTTGGGTTACCACTGCACCGCCTCATGTTTACTTCTTCCTCCTTCCCCTCTCTCTCCTCCCCTGCGACCCATTCCCACCAGAAGCCCCTCTCACCGGCTACAGCCTGCGCACATGCTGCCGATTGCCGTGATGCCGCAGCAGAGGAAGCTGTAGCAGCTGCCAGTGCTGCTGTTGCTGCCGCTACAGCTGCTGCCTCCGATGACCTTGCTGCCTCCGATGACCTTGCTGCCTCCGATGACCTGACCTTGCTGCCACTGTGCCTGGCGCCCTGCCCTCTGCCTTGGCCGTGCATGAGTCCACGTGGGGGCAGCCCAGCATCCCGTGGCTGCGCCTGCTGAACGCCCTCCCGCTCTCCCTCATGCGCCCCGACGCCCATGTCGTCGCCTTCCCCCTGCTCCCACACGCCCCCCCTCTGCCTCACGCGTTCATGTCAGAGACACCGCTGCTGCCCCACAGGCAGCTGCTGCCATGGGAGGTGGTGAACGGGTCTGTGGTGGGGCACGGCGATGGCGCTGTAAGGCGGGTGCGAGGGGGGCGAATGATTCGTGACTGCGTGCACTGGTGCCTGCCTGGCGTGCCGCACACCTGGAACCAGCTCATGTACCTATGCCGACCTCTTGCAATCTGACCTCCTTGGTGTCACTTGATTCCCTGCCATGCTTTGTGTACGGAGTAGCCACACAAGCTTGCCCCTTGTCGCCGCAACCTGGTGCTCGGATCGGATGTCATGTGAGCAACAGCTGATGCGTCAAAGGATGTGACCAAGGAACCCCTCATGATTTCACACAAACATGCACGAAAGATGCTGTCCTGCTATAGTTATAAGCCGAGTAAGCCAGCCAGGGTATGAGGCCCAAGCAGCAAAAAGTTCACAGAAAATGAAAAGGGAACACAGCAAGCTCCCCAGCATCTTGTTCTGCCTCCTAAGCCTAGAGATGGGAGTTCAAGTGTGTGCGTTCATTTCTGCAAGCTTTCTGGCTGGTTTATGTGGGCGGAGTGTGGGTGAACCCCCTGCCATTTGCCACCACGAAGAACTGGTACAAAGACAACTCATTGCTGTAAAAAGAAATACAGCATGGCATGAAACACATCAGCTCAAACTGTTCTGGCCATCTCCAGGAACAAGATATGAGCTCCAGAAGCATCATGAGGCTGAAACTCGAGAGACATGTCATCTTTTCTGGGCGCCGCAACCTGCAAAACGGCCATAAGCAATTAGTTCTGTCTGCGCGATATTTTATGAGTTCAAAAGGGATGCCGGAGGTGCTGAAAGGCATACCTGCAGGGCATCGCGGGCATGGAGCGTCTCCTTGATGCCACTGTCCTTGGAGGTCACAGTGAGGCCGCCCTCAATGCACAACAGGTACATCTGCCGCCCCCTCTGCAGTGTGTACTCCAAGCTCCTCGCAGCAGCACCAGGCAGCGAGCCATCCATCTCCGACACAAAGATGTTGACGTCTTGATTCACGGGAATAATTCCCGATCCTGCATCTTTGTTGGAACCGTAACGGTCATAGCTGGTTACCACTTGCTGTAGCTTGTTGTGGCGATCACTCTTTCTGCACACACGAGGTTGAAAAGGAGAGACATTCAAGTCAGAGACACTTCACTCATCCCAGTCACCTTGGCACATACAGTCAACACGAGTATGGAAATCAAACGCAGTGTGCTATACTTGTGCAAGTGAGAATGAGGGACCAGATAACGACACAATTGAAGCAAGTGGAATAATGGGTGGAGACAAAAGGAAATGGTGCATGCTGAACAATGTGGATGAGCCCATCGCGCTTGACCGCACCTGAAGGTGCGCGAGCCATAGTTGGGCTTGAGACCCCTTGCGTTCGGCTTCACCCAGATCTGAATGAACCGTTGCCTGCAGGCACGGATAGAGGAGGAGAACAGGTAACGCATGGAAAGGGCAAAATTACTTACAACAGGGAATACAGGGTGAACAAGGCTGAAGAGATAATGACAATGCGGATCGTGTTGATCCTCACGTGCACGTACAGCTGGTCGGAGTTGTTCATCTCGGAGTGCGTGACGCCAGTGCCCGCACTCATGTACTGCACGCACCCACGCCCCAACGTCTCCGCTGTCCCCATGCTGCCAGGCCAGGGTCAAGGCGCAAGACAAGATCGCACAACGACAATGGAAAGCATGATAACGAAAGTTCTGGTGCGCATGAATGGAATAGGGATCGCATTGAAGCAGAATGGTTGGATGGTGGAGGGAGGCGAGTGACGAGGTGCGCGCACCTGTCCTTGTGAGTGAGCTGGCCGTCCACGGCGTAGGTGATGATCTCCATGTCGCGGTGCGGATGTGTCCCAAACCCGGCGTTGGGCTGCCCAGCATGGTTGGGCGAAACGACACGGAGAGACAGGGAGGAGTTGAGTCTAGAATGCTCCAAGCAAAATCCTCTACAAGGTGCAAATTGAGGGGCTGAAGGAGAAGGTGAAAGGCCTGTGGGAGGGACCTGGACGAGGTCGTCGTTGAGCACGCGCAGCACGCCGAACTCCTGATTGGCCGGATTGAAGTACTCCGCGAAGCTGAAGTGGAAGCGCGACTCCAGCCACCACGTGGGCCGGGACACGTACAGCGAGCTGCTCGGAATCTTCCTCATAAACTCCTTCGCCCTGCCAACAGAGAAACGGCGCGTGATGAGGATGCCTGTGCACAGCGAAGGTCGGAACTCCTACAATGCAACGCTAGTGACGAAAAAAAAAAAAGAAAAAAAAGTTAGCGAACTAGGGTCCATTGGCGGACGAAACGATCGCTTACATGACCGTGGAGCTTGACCGAACGATTGCCTCTAACGATAAACTTGGTCTTGGGACGGAATCTACGAAGGATGAAAGAAAATGGACTGACTTTCGCGGGATTGGTTTTCTGAAGGCAGCTTTCGCTTCAACGATTAAAGCAGTAGTGGATGAACTCGAAAGAGCTAGTGCAGCTGAATGTCTCGTCGCTTGCAATAAATACGTCATTTATTAGCAAAAGGCTACAGGCCGAGGGAACTCGAGCGAGTAGGAACCAAGAAGAAGGCAGAAGGTTTCTTGCGAGCTTCTAACCATGAGGAGCATTCAGCGAAAGCAGAAATGGCACGCGGTGGATGGAAGCAGAAAGAAATTCGCGATGGCGGTCGAGGCGAGGCGAGGCGAGGCGAGGCGAGGCGAGGCGAGGCGAGGCGAGGCGAGGCGAGGGGAGGGGCTGGTGAGGAGGAAATGGCCGAAGTCGGTGGCAATTTCTAGGAATTGCGGAGAAGTTCGCGAAGAATCTTTCGCCACTGGGATTCGCAAAGCGTGGCTGCGACGATTTACAGCACTGTGCGACAACATTTGAACCCCCCGCTGGCCAGAGCGTGCAAATGCTCAAGTTTACAGCTCCCCCCCTCCCTCCCTGCGCGTCGTGAGCCAGAAGCTTCCCTCGAACGATCGCTCCCCAGTGCCACGTAAGGGCGGAGATCCGCTCGTTCCCACCCGTCTCGAGCTTCTATGTAAATCCGGTCGTTCATTATTCGCTGCTGGTCCTCACTACCTCCGCCGTGCGCTTCTCTGCCCGCTCGCGCACTATCTTAAGTTCCGTCCTCGGTCCCCCATCTTATCTTCGCTCCTTCACCACATCCCGTCTCCATCCCTATCGCCCCTCCCTATCGCGCCGCTCGCTCCCGTCGCGCCAGTCACACCTATGTCCCTCGCCGCGGCGTCGGCGAGACGCCATGTGCGATGGCAGGCGATGCTGCTGCAGTCGCAGCTGATCGCCCAGCGATCGATCCTTCGCAGACCAGCACTGAACCGATCACAACCGTTCGTCACCTCCCTCGATCGCGCACACGTTCACCCAATGCACGGTGCCCCTCTCCTCCCTCCCAAGCCCCCCATTTCCCCGTCACCCCCCCCGCCCCACGCACCCCTCGCCTCGCAAGTCGCGCTATCCTCGTTACAAGGTCACTCGCCGGCAGCACGCGACATCGCCCTGTTTAAGAGTCGCAGACTAAGCATCTCAGCTGCAAACGTGTTCCCGGCGGCACTTGCCGGCCAGGCGATGCCGGACCGTCAGGCGCTACCAGCTAGCCGGCAAGTCGTTCCGCAGCACGTGCGCGCTCTGCAAGACGACATCCTGCGACTCGCTTCTGCGCGGCCAGCCTCTGGGCGGTCCGAGGGGGAAGCGGTCAGAAGCATGGCGGAGAGGGAGGGGGAGGGGGAGGGGGAAGTGGGGGAAAAGGAGGAAGGGGAGGGGAAGGGGAGGCGAGGCGTGGAAGAGGGGGCCAAGAGCGAGCAGGAGAGCAGCGAGAGGGGCGAGCACAGTGGGGGCGGCAGCAGCAGCGGCGGCAGCAGTGACGGCAGTAGTGGCAGCAGAGGCCGGCGAGGGGTGAGTAATGACTGTCATGCCTGCACTCCCCTTCTACTCTGCCCCTTCGGCGCTGGTCACTGCTGCCGCCGCCCCTCGCGCACTGCGCCATGCCTCATGCTCCGCCCTTCATTCCATTCCTTCATTCTTCTCCCCTCCTCCCTGCCCCACAGCCAGTGACATGGGCGAGTCTGGCGCTGCTGCTGGTCACGGGAAGCGCACTGCTGACGTACTTTGAGAGCGAGAAGCGCAAGCGACTCGAAGGTGCGCAGCGGGGTGTGTTGTGCTAATCAGTTGCTAATCAGTTGAATTGAAGGGTGCAGGCGTGGCGTGCCTCTACCGCGCTTGCCAGTCCCACCATGGCTGCCTTCTCCCCGCATTGTGTCTGTCACAGCCATTGCTGCCCTGCTCTCTCACTCCTCCCTCATCTCATCACCCCAAAACCGCCAGATGTTCCCAACCCCCGTCTTCCTTCCCTCCCCCTGCCCCATTCCCGCATTCCTTCGGTCCTCCCACGTATCCCATCCCCTTACCCTCCCCCAGCGGTGAGGGAGTTGAAGCCGGTGGGCAAGGCGGCCATAGGCGGCCCCTTCACACTTGTGGACGGCCAAGGGAAGCCATTCACAGAGGCTGATCTCAAGGGGCGGTGGGCGCTGCTCTACTTCGGCTTCACCTTCTGCCCGGACATCTGCCCCAGCGAGCTCATCAAGATTGCTCAGGCTGTTGATCTAGTGGGTGCGTGTGGGTGGGTGGGGGGGGCGTGGGGGGCGTGTGGGGGCGTGTGGGTGTGCGCGGTTGCCTGTGGGTGCCTGTGAGTGCGTGCATGAGATACGTGCGACATCTTCCTCTCTAATCTTCTTCTCGCCATGCACAGTCGCAAGGGACCGCTTGACGCCCCGTGCACTCTCCATCCCCCACGTTCCCCTCACCCACCCCCACTCTCTCTGTGTGTGTGTGTGCAGAGAAGCAGGTGGGAGTGAGGGTGGTGCCCGTGTTCATCTCAGTGGACCCTGAGCGAGACACCGCAGAGCAGGTCAAGGAGTATGTCAAAGGTGCGGCACATTCGCCCCCCGCACATTCGCCCCCCGCACATTCGCCCCCCGCACGTTCACCCCCCGCACGTTCAAACCTCGCACGTTCAAACCTCGCACGTTCAAACCTCGCACGTTCAAACCTCGCACGTTCAAACCTCGCACGTTCAAACCTCGCACGTTCAAACCTCGCACGTTCACCCCCCGCACGTTCACCCCTCTGTACGTTCACCCCTCTGCGCATTCACCCTCCTGCACCTCCTTGAAACTACCTGCACCTCCTTGCACCTCCTTCCATGCTTGTCGTTCCTATTTTCTCATCATTCCTCCTGTTCCTCCCCTGCTCGTTCAACCTGCTGCAGAGTTCCACCCGAGAATGATCGGCCTCACAGGCACACCAGAACAGGTGGGTGGCCTTGCAGGTGTCTTGTGTTTAGATGCTTCAGGCATGCTGCATGTTTCATGATGAGCGTGCAGCATGTTTCATTGGGATAAGTCAGGTGATTTCCTCATGGTTGTTTATTTGCTCCTGCTCTCCCCCTCCCCCTCGCTTTCCCCATGCCATGCACATGGGCTGCTGGTGGCAGGTGAAGGCAGCAGCACGGGCGTTCAGAGTGTATTACATGAAGACAGAGGAGGAGGGATACGACTACCTCGTCGACCACTCCATCATCTCGTACGCACAGCACACCCCTGCCGTCTGCTGTTTGAGTGTCATGCGTGTTGATCTAATCAGTGCGACCCACAGTCACTCCATCCATCATCTCATGAGTGCACCCCCGCCGCCTTGCATCTGCTGCTGCTCGCCAGCCTGTTACCCTTTCCATAGGTTGCTGCCTCTCCAGGCCTGTTTACTCTTTTCCCTCCTCTCCCCAACCCCTCTCCCCAACCCCCTCCTGTCCCCTTTCCCCCTCACCTGCACCAGATATCTGATGAGTCCAGAGTTTGAGTTTGTCAAGTTCTTTGGCCGCAACCACACACCAGAGGGGTTGGCAGACGGCATAGCTGGGGAGATCAAGGGGCATGGCAAGTAGATGGGGCATGGCAAGTAGATGGGGCATGGCAAGTAGATGGGGCATGGCAAGTAGATGGGGCGTGGCAAGTAGATGGGGCATGGCAAGTAGATGGGGCGTGGCTGCGCAATGCCAGGCTGGAGGGAGCATACAGTAGATGCATGGTCCATGGCGTAGAGTGGATTGAATGTGTTCCCTGCTTGTTAATGGATTGCAATTCTGTGCCACAAGTCTTCTCATCACAGCATTGACTTTTATTCGCCAAAAACGAATGGTGTGTCACAAAGCAGGGAAAGCAGGCCGGACGAATGGTGTATCACACAGCAGCAGAATATGCTGCTAATTCAGCAGCCACTGGGCCTCAACACTCTCTTGCTCCACCAAGGCCACTTTTCTATTGGACTCAACCGTCACAACGGAATGCTCGTGACACGCGCCAATCGGCGCCGCGTCACTCCCTTGCTTCAATTCACCTCTCAGCCTCCCTGTCTCAACCATTCTCCCACGACCCATTCGCTGCCTGCCGGCCTCACAGCTCGTCCTTCATCTCACAGCTCGTCCTTCATCTCACAGCTCGTCCTTCGTCTCTCCTGCTTCTTGCCTTGCCTGCTCCGCCTCAGCCTCCTTCCTCCTCTGCTTCTCGTACTCCTCCCCTTGCTCCTCCACCTCCTCCTCCAGGTTTTCAGGCAGGTGCAGTGCGGTGCCAGCATGCTGTCTGAGTGTGCCCACCATGTGCTTCCACCGCACCAACCGGTCCTCCACTGTCACCTGTGGGGGCAGCACACAGCAATGAGGACGAGGGGGAGGGGGGGAGATGGGACATGCATAGGAGGCAACGGGAGGTGAGCGGGCTGTATGAGCGAGAGCACCATGAGCACCATGAGCACCATGAGCACCATGAGCACCATGAGCACCATGAGCACCATGAGCACCATGAGCACCATGAGCACCATGAGCACCATGAGCACCATGAGCACCATGAGCACCATGAGCACCATGAGCACCATGAGCACCATGAGCACCATGAGCACCATGAGCACCATGAGCACCATGAGCACCATGAGCACCATGAGCACCATGAGCACCATGAGCACCACGTGCTGCCACCGCACTAATCGGTCTTCTCTGTCACCTGCAGTGGCTCCATACAGCAGGGAGAGGGGAAAGTGCATGGGAGGCAGCAAGAGGTGAGAGGTCGGGGACGTGGGTAGTGAGGAAAGAGTTCACACGCGAGTGGGGGAAAGGGGTGTTACAGCGAGGAAGAGACATGGTGAGCGATTAACGCTGTTGATAAATTCCAAAGACGCAAACGAGCAACATGTGGGTGAGGTGGCAAGAGCAAGGACGAGAGGACACAGGTAGGCACACGAGACGGGGGGCTTACTGGTTGGGACTTGCTGCCGGCCGGGTAGAGCATGACCGTTGGGAACGCCTCTAGCTGATGGCCATGGGGGGGGGGGGGAATGGGAACGGAGGTAAGAAAAAAGGGGGGAAGGAGTTTTGAGTAGGTCGGTCGGACTTGCTGCCGGCTGGGTAGAGCATCAGCATCAGCATCAGCATCAGCATCAGCATCAGCATCAGCATCAGCATAAGCATCAGCATCAGCATAAGCATAAGCATCAGCATAAGCATCAGCATCAGCATCAGCATAAGCATCAGCATCAGCATCAGAATCAGCATCAGCATCAGCATCAGCATAAGCATCAGCATAAGCATCAGCATCAGCATCAGCATCAGCATCAGCATCAGCATCAGCATAAGCATCAGCATAAGCATCAGCATCAGCATCAGCATAAGCATCAGCATCAGCATAAGCATCAGCATCAGCATCAGCATCAGCATCAGCATCAGCATCAGCATAAGCATCAGCATAAGCATCAGCATAAGCATCAGCATCAGCATCAGCATCAGCATCAGCATCAGCATAAGCATCAGCATAAGCATCAGCATCAGCATCAGCATAAGCATAAGCATCAGCATAAGCATCAGCATCAGCATCAGCATCAGCATAAGCATCAGCATCAGCATAAGCATCAGCATCAGCATCAGCATAAGCATAAGCATCAGCATCAGCATCAGCATCAGCATCAGCATAAGCATCAGCATAAGCATCAGCATCAGCATAAGCATCAGCATCAGCATCAGCATAAGCATCAGCATCAGCATCAGCATCAGCATAAGCATCAGCATCAGCATCAGCATCAGCATAAGCATAAGCATCAGCATCAGCATAAGCATCAGCATCAGCATCAGCATCAGCATAAGCATCAGCATCAGCATCAGCATCAGCATCAGCATAAGCATAAGCATCAGCATCAGCATCAGCACCAGCATCAGCATCAGCATCAGCATCAGGATCAGCATCAGCATCAGCATCAGCATCAGCATCAGCATCAGCATCAGCATAAGCATCAGCATCAGCATCAGCATCAGCATAAGCATCAGCATCAGCATAAGCATAAGCATCAGCATCAGCATCAGCATCAGCATCAGCATCAGCATAAGCATCAGCATCAGCATAAGCATCAGCATCAGCATCAGCATCAGCATCGGCATAGGCATCAGTTTAAGCATCAGCATCAGCATAAGCATCAGCATCAGCATCAGCATAAGCATCAGCATCAGCATCAGCATCAGCATAAGCATCAGCATCAGCATCAGCATCAGCATCAGCATAAGCATCAGCATCAGCATAAGCATCAGCATCAGCATCAGCATCAGCATCAGCATCGGCATAGGCATCAGTTTAAGCATCAGCATCAGCATAAGCATCAGCATCAGCATCAGCATAAGCATCAGCATCAGCATCAGCATCAGCATAAGCATCAGCATCAGCATCAGCATCAGCATAAGCATAAGCATCAGCATCAGCATCAGCATAAGCATCAGCATCAGCATCAGCATCAGCATCAGGATCAGCATCAGCATCAGCATCAGCATCAGCATCAGCATCAGCATCAGCATCAGCATCAGCATCAGCATAAGCATCAGCATCAGCATCAGCATCAGCATCAGCATCAGCATCAGCATCAGAATCAGCATCAGCATCAGCATCAGCATAAGCATCAGCATAAGCATCAGCATCAGCATCAGCATCAGCATAAGCATCAGCATCAGCATAAGCATCAGCATCAGCATCAGCATAAGCATAAGCATCAGCATCAGCATCAGCATCAGCATCAGCATAAGCATCAGCATAAGCATCAGCATCAGCATAAGCATCAGCATCAGCATCAGCATAAGCATCAGCATCAGCATCAGCATCAGCATAAGCATCAGCATCAGCATCAGCATAAGCATAAGCATCAGCATCAGCATAAGCATCAGCATCAGCATCAGCATCAGCATAAGCATCAGCATCAGCATCAGCATCAGCATCAGCATAAGCATAAGCATCAGCATCAGCATCAGCACCAGCATCAGCATCAGCATCAGCATCAGGATCAGCATCAGCATCAGCATCAGCATCAGCATCAGCATCAGCATCAGCATAAGCATCAGCATCAGCATCAGCATCAGCATCAGAATCAGCATCAGCATCAGCATCAGCATAAGCATCAGCATAAGCATCAGCATCAGCATCAGCATCAGCATAAGCATCAGCATCAGCATAAGCATCAGCATCAGCATCAGCATAAGCATAAGCATCAGCATCAGCATCAGCATCAGCATCAGCATAAGCATCAGCATAAGCATCAGCATCAGCATAAGCATCAGCATCAGCATCAGCATAAGCATCAGCATCAGCATCAGCATAAGCATCAGCATCAGCATCAGCATAAGCATAAGCATCAGCATCAGCATAAGCATCAGCATCAGCATCAGCATCAGCATCAGCATCAGGATCAGCATCAGCATCAGCATCAGCATCAGCATCAGCATCAGCATCAGCATCAGCATCAGCATCAGCATCAGCATAAGCATCAGCATCAGCATCAGCATCAGCATCAGCATCAGCATCAGCATCAGCATAAGCATAAGCATCAGCATCAGCATCAGCATCAGCATCAGCATCAGCATCAGCATAAGCATCAGCATCAGCATCAGCATCAGCATCAGCATAAGCATCAGCATCAGCATCAGCATCAGCATCAGCATCAGCATAAGCATCAGCATCAGCATCAGCATCAGCATCAGTGTAGAAAAACAGACCTAATGTGCACAATGTGCACAAGGAGAGGCTGGTTCTGAAATGCTGAAAGGTTCTAGAAGCAGTAAATCAACTGAAGTAATGAATACAAGCAAAACAAAGGCTAAAATAGGCAGAAAATGAAGAGAGCTAGCTTGGAGGCGACTTGGGCTGGTCCAGGTGAGGAATTTGGTACCCAAGGGACTTGGGGTGGCCAAATGGGTGCTCAAGTCGCCCACAGTCAAGATGGGGACGTGAGGGACCCTCAAAGTGGGCCTGGAAGCGCCCCCTACAGTGGAACCGCGATTCCACGAATTGGAAACGCGAATTCCAAGTTGGAGCCGCGTTTCCAATGTTGAAATTCGTGGGTCCAGGCTGGAGCCGCGTCCCCAAGATTGGGAAACGTGCTGAGGTGCCCCAAAGCCGAATTTGGGGTGCCTAGCACTTGATAAAGTCACTCAGGGGGCACCCTATAACTAATATAACCCAACCCCTATTGTCTACACTATTATAATGTAAACAAATACGTACAAACTTTAAATAAACTAGTGAACAAATCCTGCAGCAAATTTAAAGGAAAATAAGTACCCAACAACACCCCCCCTTAGGGTGACACCGAGGGAGAGGTCAAAGGAGAAGTAGCAGGGCGAAGGCCGATGCAGGACTGGAGACGCTGCAGCGTGTCACGAGGGAGAGGTTTGGTCCCCAAATCAGCAAGGTTATCACGGGTAGGGATATAATGCAGCGAGATATGCCCTTTGTCAACATGGTCACGGAGGAAATGGTGGCGGATGTCAATGTGCTTGGCACGGGCATGGAAAACACCAGCGTCCTTTGCCAAGACAATTGCGCTAGTGTTGTCACAAAGCAGCGGGGTGGGACCAGTGGGGGG